CAACACTACCTGGGGTACTCAGTATTCCCACGTCCTGATGATTCGGCATTGTGCCAACCACACTGGCCAGTACGGTGTCCGACGATAGATTACTTAGTAAGACCACATGGGTAGCCAGTGACCACGCCCCCCTCGTCCCGCTTCAAACTACCGTGTACACGGTGAGGAGAAAGCACTGCTACTCACGTGTTTAGTTTCACACATCTTGACTTAACAAGAGTACACCTGGTTGTGTAGTCAATAGAGAATATACACATATATATAGGAGGGCACATGGCCACTCTTTATAATAGGTTAAATATTCGAATGACGATTAAACATTGAGTGAACAGGAATGTATGTTAAGGATCTTAAGTATATTTAAACTTAGCAGAGTTTTTCAAAGATACATGTTAATGTTTCATTTGATGTAGGTTTCCTAAATAAGTTTTATTTTTATCACGTGTACGTAAATATATATAAGACGAACTCCAGATAACAGTTTTTATAACAGCATATTTACGTGAGTTTTCACACCGAGTCATGTCGATGGGATACTTCATCTGTTCAGTCACGGGCAGTGAAAAAGGTGGGGACATGTACCAGTTCCTTGTCGGGATCCAGCGTGGCATGGTCTGTGTTCGTCAAGATCAACTCACTGGAAGACATTTATCGTGCGTCGTCTCCGAAACAGATATAATCTATAGTTGGTAACCCGTTCTCTTTACATGTGATTGTCTGTATTTTTATTCCTAGTTATCCAATGAATGCCGAGTCTAATCAAACCATATCGACTCTTCATCTATTTCTATACATTCAGACATTATGTAACATCTATATTCACGAAAGCAATCATGCTTTAAGGGGTGTAAAAACTTCTGATGACAACATTTACAGCTTAACAAAATAACGCTCTACAGACACCTACCTAGAGTGTATATCTGTTTGTCCTTCTATGCACACTCAGACATGTATCATTTATACGCCCGCAGTCTGTAATAAATATAGTCTGGACCAGACAATCAAGTGACTGATATTCTGAGCATATAGATCCAAAGACACTGAACCAACCAAGGTTGACCACGCAAAGCATCCAAGTCATTTCCTGCCAGCAGCATCGATTGACCCCTTCTTACCAGGGGAGCGTAGACCAAAGAACAACTGTTGCAGAGAATTCAGAGGACGGCACTAGTGGACATTCTGACATTCCTGGAATATTTTCGGGGGATTATTTTGAAAATGAAATGTGCAGTTGTTTCATTGCAGTGTTGCTATAAACAAGGTACACAGCGGCTTGAACATGTACCTTCCTTTCTTAAGAATAATTACGGAAATATATAAAAATGTATCAGGAAATATATGTACATCATATATACAAGATATAAGTCATCTGGACGCGTATATCAGGTATAGACTCCCCCAAACAGTGACATTGGGCTCGTAGTGGACGTCACCATCACTGGACTCAATATGAGATCATACCACGACCTCCATATTAGTGTGACACTGGGCACTATAGTGGATGTCGCCATCACTGGACTCAATATGAGATCATATCACGACCTCCATATTGGTGTGACACTGGGCACTATAGTGGACGTCGCCATCACTGGACTCATTATGAGATCATACCACGACCTCCATATTGGTGTGACACTGGGCACTATAGTGAATGTCGCCATCACTGGACTCATTATGAGATCATACCACGACCTCCATATTGGTGTGACACTGGGCACTATAGTAGATGTCGCCATCACTGGACTCAATATGAGATCATACCACGACCTCCATATTGGTGTGACACTGGGCACTATAGTGGACGTCGCCATCACTGGACTCAATATGAGATCATACCACGACCTCCATATTGGTGTGACACTGGGCTCGTAGTGGACGTCGCCATCACTGGACTCAATATGAGATCATATCACGACCTCCATATTGGTGTGACACTGGGCACTATATAGTGGATGTCGCCATCACTGGACTCAATATGAGATCATACCACGACCTCCATATTGGTGTGACACTGGGCTCGTAGTGGAAGTCGCCATCACTGGACGCAATATGAGATCGCACCACGACCTCCATATTGGTATGACACTGGGCACAATAGTGAATGTCGCCATCACTGGACTCAATATGAGATCATACCACGACTTCCCCATTGGTATTTCAGAACATGTGGGCAAATGCCAGCTTATAAGGTCAAGTGGCTCAGCTTACATGGCCAACGGGGCGAAAACCAAATAAAATGGCGAAAGAAGCAGGTGGATCGTAAAGCCAAATTGTAAATAATTGTCTATTTTGCGTGGGCAAATATCTTAATCCTTTTACGTGTATAGAAGATCAAGCAATCATCCTCGCTTTTCATACAAGGCCCAGCGTCAAATTAAACTCTGACACTGTAAGTCTTAATTAATTCTGTCAAATATTTTCCAACGTGCTCAGGCGAGATTGTTACGCGACCTGGGGTCAAACGATTCCACTTCAAATTCCCTTTCATCATTTTACGTATTACTGAATTGTATTTATCTTTACCAGCGTGCTGCAGTCGAAACCCCTTGCCCCACAGACCTGTGTGAGAAGTTACGTTAAGTGTCAGTCCATCCATGCCACGTTACCAGGGCACCCCAGGTACACACCGGTCCTAGCGACCATTCCGCCACAGTAAGCCTTCATAAATTAATTATACTGACGGGTAAAATAAGTATTCACCCAGTTTGATGGTGGCTAAATATGAAACAAACAAGCACCGGTTAGTGGATGGTGATGTATTTGATCCAGTCAACATGGATGTCCTTTGAAATGTAAATCTGCAGTGTTTCGGAAACTTTTGGGTAACGTTTTGATAAGGGTTATTATTTTTTTAACTATCTAGTTTTCAAGTGTAACTTTTTTAGCGAGCAGTTTTGTTTACATACCGAAACAAGGGCTTAGAGCAAATTTTAATTTGGGTTTATGGAAGAAACAAAGTCGGAATACCTGGAGTTTCTCGGACACACCCATACTTAATGTTCCATGGCGGGAGGTATTCCGGGAGTCACCGATTGTCCGGAAACACTGCAATCTGTGCGATTCTGTGTGGGAATTTTCTATGTATGTAAAATGCATTACTCTTAAACAGTTTTCTTGAACCGGATATTTGTTAATTAGCACTAAAACTGTGGAAACGATATGGCTGGATAAACGACGTCTCGGTGTATATTCCCCTACGTTCTCCGTCTGAGCAGCATGGGGGGTTTATTATCGGTATACTGGTAAACTGCTGTGTTGATTTGAAAAAAAGTCATTTCAATATTGTTGAGCATGTTTGTGTGTATTGTTTTCACTTTTTCCTTCAAGTGCAAATGAAAGGTGGCAGTTTATACAAACAGAACATTTGTGAAAGCAGTCGCTTGAATGTGTTTGTGAAAAAGCACGATACATTTTATCTCGGCAGTTCATGGAATAAGTCCAAACTTGGAAAACTGAAACAATACATTTAGAGTGCATGCTATTGTGAGTAATTACAATATTTGATACAACAGATAAAAAGTACAGGCCTTACAAGCCTCCCCATGATTCATGACACGGGGCACACTAGTGTATTGTTGTGATGTCCAGCAACGCTCGGCAAAACAATACATCTGTCCTTGTATGGAACTTGACCAGTTGAGTGCAGTTCTGTGCACACACACACACACGCACGCACGCGCACATAATTATCACCATCATTGATGGAGTGTGTGAAAGTTAACGCTGTTACAAGTAGTTCTCGCCGCGTATTCTATACTTCAGTATTCTAGGTATTACTTTTACAGATAGAAAAAAACATTGAACTCATGTTCTGCCAAGTTCTCAAGAACGTTCAGTTAACTTACAAACAGATATATCTTCTTCAAGTATTAATGGAATTCATCAGGTATATTGGTGTTCTTGCTGTCTTCAACATTTAATCCTGCAGTTTAACGTAAAGCCTAGTGTGATGGCATGTGTGCCATGGAAGCCGGATTCTCAGAGAATGACAGTTTGGTGCAGCTGGACGTTCAATGGTGCATGGGTTTAAATCATATGGAATGGTTGCCACTGTTGCTCAAGCATTATGTTATGAATGGACAAAAAGCTTTGAGAAATGTCAGTAATCGCATTTGTTGTGGGTGTTGATACAAGTAAACAAGAAAACAAATGACAGAAGGAATCACAACGACATTGGTGACCTTAAACATGCATGGGTGATGTTACCATTGACAACGTATTCGGGTAGTGTCTGTGTCCGAGACGTCGTGGGTGACAGTAATCTGAGAAACTGGACATTACGACTATCTTTGACCACCTGTACATCCATCTATATACCTTTCATCTCCCTGTACACCCCGTCATCCGAGCTGACACCAACAAAGCCGATCTAAAGGCTGGGATGTCGCCTTACACTCATTCACGTACAAGCAGCAAATCTTGTAATGCTTTTACAAATTCCACTGTATTGGGCAAATATCACTTTCAGTCCAAACGCGGGGAACAAATTTGTCTTAATCGTTTATACTGACAAAGCGTTGTCACCCTCTACCCCCTCACACCCGGCAAAAGAAACACCCGTGGTTATTGGCGTGTTTAACCTTTGGTCAGAGGTAGAAGGAAACCCCTGACTTTCTAATTAGACGAGTGCAAATAAATAGACCTTTCAAATGAAATGCAATATCTCTTTACATTTTAACCAAATTAAGAAGATGCGGTTTTAAAGCAAACACTTTTACAGAGTGGTGGAAATACGTATTAGCGCTCATTAGTTTACCTACATCAATCACAACGCGGGCATCTGATCGTGACGGAATATGGGATAATTTCTACAAAGTTGAGGAAGGGAGGGAGCCAAACATAGCCAGTCAAATAGCAGTTTGTCTTACACACAAAGCTACGGCGCGTTCCATTTGTCTACTCGTTGAGTAGGAAGGGGCTTCACCTGTTGACATAATAACAGGACGCGCGTCCAGTGGGGACTATAAAATGGGGGAACCCCTTCATCCTCTCAGTAGCTAACGGTCTCAGGAGTAATAACTATCGCTAGAGAACCTCACCTCTTTAACAATGATCCACGCTGTCGTCTGCTCCTTGGCAGGTAAGAACACTCTACTCGTGTAATGTTTGATCACTGAGGAATATATCAGAGGATATCTGTTCCATTTTACCTGTTCCGCTGATACACGCAGAGAGAAACCGTAACCATGCTGTAATCTAAACTCCTTTACTCATGTTGCCATTAAATGCTTTAACGTATTTGGACAACTTGTCAGATGTCTTAAAATTCATTCTTGCATTCGTTCTCGACACCAGATTTAATAAATTTGTGGAGGAAGGAATTTAAGTAATACCCTGCATGTTGTAATGTTATCGACTGATGTCAGCCAGCTGATGTCCAAAGGATACTTGTTATGTGCCATTTTTCATTTCGTTTATTTGAATAAGATATTATGCCGTGGGTTCAAACCAAGTTTCTTTGGATTCTTAGGTTTTTCCTAAAACCGTCTACAGATGGCGTCACAATTTTTTTTCCCGACATTAAGCTCATGTGATGCAACAGAAATTATGTTCTAAGCAGTGTTCATCACAACTCAGTAATAATAAAAAGTGGCTCAGTAGTAGGTTCGATCAACGTCTTCAACGTCGATCAACGTCTTCAACGAAACATGGGCCCCAGCATGTCTGGACAGCGCCATACTGATACAACAGCCAGCAGTCTATATTCTAACACTGTTTATGCATATCGGGATGTTATCTTGGCATTGGTAGCAGCAGACATTTCTTCTGTGAGAACAATTGTCAGTGCAGTTATAGAATTAGATTTAGAATTATACATTTCCTAATTCCAGTTATAACATCGGATGCAAAGAAATTTCAAAGAAGCCATTTAACTAATTTCTATTACATTGCTTTATCGGAAACACATAATTCCTCTGAAATTAGGATAAAGACTTCATAACAAATTGAGATGCATATGTTTCCCAGCCCTCAAATACCCAAGTTAGAAAGTAATCGTTTGCAGTTAATACTTAGAATACTTGATAGTTTAGCTCATCCTTGAAACGATCCACTCAGCACGTGCTGTAAGTACTAGGGCTGTTGCCACAAAGAATCATGTGCAAGACTGTCAGTTGCTGGGGATTTTTAGGACTTGTTTTTGTACAAAAAATACAAACCTATGTACTTGTGAAATACTTAAAAATAACAGTGGTTATATCATTTCAGAATTACATGTCCATCTCTTCCACTAGAGGATCGTTTGTGAAATTATTAATACATTTTACATGATTTAGAAAAAATATGACAATTGTCTTTGTCGAATCTTAATTATTGTTAACTCATGGTTGGTGTTAACGACATTCCATCTCTGTTATGCGTTAATGTCAGTGCCAGAATACCTTGATACCCACCCTATAACATACTGATTCTTAGATTGTTACTTTGTCAATACCACCTTCATCTAGAAGCATCATCTGTAGAACGTGCAAATATCCTAGTCGCTATATTCATGTGCATCACACTATTGACAATATATTCTGGAATACTTGATTCTATAGTCATGTGCAGCGTTCAAAAATGAACAGGAACCCCCTAGAACCCCTTCACAATAACGCAAACATTCATTGGATCCATTTCCAAAATATGTTTTCTAAATGTGACCTTTTCTCTTACGTCTCACAATGGTAACCTCCGGTGATACTGCTCCATCACGTCGGTGACGACGTCGTGTTTGGCCCTGCGGCCTACAACCGTCGTAGTACAGAACAAGCCGCTAGACGTTGTAGAGGATGTCCCCACGTCCTGGCCCCGATTTCTCGAAACAAACTTAAGTTTTTACTCAAATATCAAACTGAGTTTGACAATTTGAAACAGCTGAATTCTTAACTCAACTGCATTTTATAAATAAAAAAGCCCAAACAACTTAAGTAATCCATCCACCAAACTCAAATTGTCTACTATGTTTGAGTTTAATATCGATTTCAGTTCATTCTGCGAAATGCATTTTCTCAAATTTGAGTAGAAACTTTAACTTAAGTCAAAACTCAGACTTAAGTTTGTTTCGAGAAATCGGGGCCTGGTGACATAGCAGTCATTAGCTGTGCATGTCGTCGCTCCCCCAATGCGGAAATGATTGGAATCGCTACAGTTGGCATCCCATCCTTGATAAGTACATCTAACGCCAGTACAAACAAATCGACCAACCCCTTCCCAATATCACCGTTGATGAAGACGGACTCGACTCTGATGACGTAGCCACATCAATGCCAGGGAGTAGATGGTCAGCGTTCCCCGTTAATCCTGAATACACAAGAGGATGTACACTGGTCCGGGTCGCGTGACGCCGACCTGTCTTTGATTATCATCAAGAATATTCCACATTGTCCAACTGCCGCGAGGACCGCGATGGGCAAACAGTACGAACCTGCCTGAAGACATGCGTGATGGCGGCTACTTGTCTGACAGAAGTCTCAGCAGCCCACTGTACTTCTGAAGATTATTGACGAATTAAGATTATCCGGTTTTGTGAAACAGGGAGGATCCAGGGGTTGTGTTTATTAAGGGATTTTCGTTTTTCATTGCGAGCGTTAGCAACTGTAAAACGATGCTGTCATAATTTTCGTTGTTGGCCAGACATGGAGCCTGGGGTGTGTGGTGTCCTTGGGTGGCAACTATGGCTGAGATAATCTCCCCGGTTCACGTATTTAAATATTTTAGGCAGATAGGATCCAAATGTCGATGGACAAAGTCAGCACTCGGGTTTAACTCATCTTGTCAACGATTAAGCATGGATATGAGTAACACTACATATAGATCTGTGAGGTGTTCAGCACTATCTCTGGACAGCCACACAGATGGTACATTCCAGCACACTAATTATTTTTCTATTGTTTCTTCCAGTTTTCGCCTTGTTACACGTACCAGCAGCCTCCAGTGGTAAGTACTGACTGTGAAGCAATAAATTGCAACTGAGTATATGTGTGATAAATTGGCTGTTTCTTAAATTTGGTGGTATGGCTTTTCAATTTGCAAATAATACTGTAATGAAGAAAAATGCATTCTAAGAAACTCCTTTGTACTTTGTGACTAAAATGTGCATGTGTGTAGACTTGGTCTCGTCGCTATATGGTTGAAACCATGCCGATGCGACGTAAACCTTCAACTCAAGTACTGACTGCCAGTCTACTTGTAATTCAGATAATCCATTAAAAACTATTACTGTTATTTCAAAGTAATGTATGGACTATGATACCCACACTATAGCATATAGATTCATGGAGTATTTGCAATAGCTTATTTTGTATTTCACCTGATGTGTCGGTTCAGACACATGTTTAATTAAGTTTCATTGAGACCTTAATTCAGTAAAGAAGATCATTGCTGCAGAACCAGCTAACACGGGACTTTTTTAAACACTTCTTCATATCACAGTGCTAATATTTACACTTCCATTCCGCTCCTGTAGAGTGCCGTGTATGCCATGACATCCCAATCAGGCCAAGATGTCGCAAAATTAAAGAAAACACGTTGACCGGTCTCCAACACAGAGTCCCTGTCTCTAACGTCAGCCTGTTCCCTAAGACCCTCGTCTCATTAGCTGTGAACAGACCCGACAATCCCAAGGCTTGTATTAGCATTTACTTAGGACTGAGTCGTGCAGTTGATCTGCGGTTGTCAATGATGCTGTTAGCTGCAGCTCGTTGTCCCTATTTACCCTCCCATTTCCCGCGCGAATCTGTCCTGAGTGTACGGAGAGCAGACGACATGTTTGTGGAGCTGGTTTGTCAATTTGTTCCCCGACACAACAGACAACTAAATCGTGCTTGATTTAAGGAAGTCAGTTTTTGAGGAAGTTTAAAAACGAGCGAATGTCAACGATCCCGCTGTCCTCGTTATGTTCGCACGGACTCAAAACGATCAGTCCGCATGTTCCTAGGCTATCTGTTATATTCCGACCCCGAGGGGCCCGTGTTCACCTGGCAGCCTATAGGGCAGCGACTGACTGCTGTTTATCACAGTGGACCATCGGAGCCTGTTTGCTATTTAATGATATATGCACTTAACGATATTCCAGCCTGTTAGCCTCATCGAGTCTTGGGGGTGATGGGGTAGCCTAGTGGTTAAAGCGTTCGCTCGTCACGCCGAAGATCCGAGTTCGATTCCTCACATGGGTGCAATCTGTGAAGCCCATTTCGTGTGTCCCCCGACGTGACATTGCTAGAGTATTGCTAAAAGCGGCGTAAAACTAAACTCACTCACTCTTCGAGACTTGATCAGTGATTTCATGGACAACGATCCACGGCCAATACATTATCAAACATATCACTGAGGCCGACCACCCTACCCACTGGTCGCCTTATACGACAAACATAGCCAGGAACCCTTGAATGGTTCATCGATATCCGGATGAGGCCAAGGGAAAGTTTAAGAGAGAGTTGGTTGACAATACCGAAAGCACATGAATCACCAAAATCATATAACCCTAAATAACCCTTCCCAGTGTCTACAGCAGTCATACGTAGTTGCTATATGATTTACCAATCAATTTGAAATTTGAATGTAGACATAGGTTTCATCATTAAGCTGCTGATATAATGAACATTTTTATCAAGCCATAATCTTGCATGAATTAAAAGCGTATTATAGCTTAACAAGTCGGAGAGAGTGATATATTTACAAAATGATCCCGTGAAAATTCACTAGCCAGTCGAGCCAGTGACCTTTTACTAGACACCGGCTAGCGGGCCAGTTGCTATTTCGCACACTGGATACAGGAACACATAATGGATGATACTGCTGGTGAAGTATCGCGATATACTGATGACAAGAAATTAGGGAACACATAGCAATAGTGAAAGATAATAACTAATTCTGAATCCAGTGACAATGGTTCCTAATTTGCTGAACGATCTGTGATTATTCTCGGTCAACACAAAATGTCATGCCTTTATTCACAAGCAGGAGCGGTTGTGTAGCCAATTGGATAAAACGCCCGGGTTCGATATTCAAGTGGACAATCTGTAATTCAGTTGGGTCACCCGTCATGAGATGACTGAATAATGCCACAAGCAGTATTATTCTTAATCACTTACTGATTCTTCTGTAGCGAGTCTTTATATACAAACGTCTTCGCTACAGAGAGGGACGTAGGACAATGCGTGCACCCCCACGGTGCCCGACGATGCAGGTGTAGCTACCAGCAACTTACCTCAACAGATACATTGTACCTTTATCATTTCAGGATCTGGATCCTGTCCGACTCTCTTCAACTTCTACGCGCATCCTACAGACTGCAGCAAGTTTTACCGCTGTTTCTGGGGATCGCCCATCGAGTTCTCTTGCCCCGCCGGTACACACTGGAACCAACACATCCTCACTTGCGACCACGCCTACAACGTACCGTGCGCTACTGCCATCTTAGAGCCTATCTACAAATTGGTGAAGGATGATGGCTACGGTTATCAGAAGGTCGGCTTCGTCAACTACGACGGCAGCAAGGGTTACGAAAAGGGCAACTACGGGTACGTAACCAACAAGGGTTACGACAATGGTAACTACGGATACGAAAGCAATAAGGGAGACAAAGTTTACGAAGGCTCGTACGTGAGGTCCAACGACTACGACAACTACGGCAGCTACTCGGGAACCTCTGGCTACACCAAGCAGACCTACCCACCCAAAGTTGGACACAACTACGGAGGCTTCGCAGCTAGAGCAGGCTACACTAACTACAACAACGGCTACGCCAGACCACAGTATGTCACCAACGGCTACGCCAGACCACAGTATGTCACCAACGGCTACATAAAGCCCAACTACGGGGTTACTCAGCGGGAGGTTACGCTTCACGTGCTGCAAGCGGGTATGCCCGAGTTGGAGGAAGGGTATATGGAAAGGCTTCATACGCCACCAGGAAGTATGGAAGTTGGAATGGGAAAAATAAGATGGCGGACATCTGTGATGCTGACTTTCTACTCTGTCCACCGAAGGTCACATGACCTTCACCCTTGGACGTTCTTGACACTGTCTTTCCATTGCGCGGGTACAAAACTCTAGAAGCTGTATACATAGTATGACCTTTGTTTGATTCTATTCTTGTTTCTGCCAAATATTTGTGATAACTTCAGTTATATGCTTCACCAGTTCAAGACAACGCGTAGATCACTAACATTCTTGATTTGTCTTGCAGACTGCAGTCTCGACGATAAAACAATTGTTTTATAATTTAACAGTGACTTACACCAAGTGTAGAACTAATCAAGATCGCTTCAGACAAGTGAGTCATGTAGATGTATTGGTCTGGTACACTTGAGTGTGACTGAGGTCCTAAGATGCATACAGGAACACCTTCCAAAAGTCGATTGGACACAGTCACTAGTGAGTGTTTGGGGTTCCATGTAGGGTCATCTTGTTCAGGTAATTTATCCACCAGCTGAACTATGTAGAGTATTTGTAGTGCAGCCACACACTGCTGTTTTATAGCCTTCCCGAGCACCAGTCTGTGGCGGCGTAGCTATTAATCTAGTCAGTACAGGTATTGTGCCACGACGCACAGTGTACCAATAGATTGAGCTCTCAGCTTTATGCAGCGCGTCTTCGTGGGGTAACGTATGTACAGTTGGTGATTACTCAGTTCTCAGTGTTCGGAGTGGCAGCGTAAATTAGCCAGACTTGCCCAAATTTTAACCGTAGCAGTAGTTCCCGTTCCCGTGCCTGTTAGTAGTCACTGCAGGTGGTCCTTCGTCTACAGCTTCGCAAGGTTCCGGTTCTAGTTGGACACCGGGACAGATTTCCGAGTGACGACGGAAACCAGCGAACATATACAGCGTGGTTCATCTAATGACGTCACTTTAGACGAACCAGAGTGTACCAAAGTAGACAGGAGAACCGAGATTTGGAGGTCTTTCGCGTTAGGTTCCGGCATACTTCAGTAGATTTTTGTACATTCTAGTTTGATATTGGGGCGGTTTTCTGTCGTCTCCTATTTATTTCTGAACCCGTGTCATGTTCTGATGAAAAATGCATAGTATATTTCTACCTTATTTTTATACACACGTGTAAATGTACTTTTGTGATGACATCATGTTCTGTTTCAATATAACTGGAATAAAGGTTGGGTATGACATTACTTTGTGTTTTATTGTCTTTGGAACATAAGGGGGAATACTGGTGACCAGGTGGTCTCGTGGTCCCACGCTTAACTTCCACTTTCGGTCCGATTATAGTCCCTTGCTGTTGGGTTTCAACAAAAAATGTAGATTCTACCTCCAGCATCTTAGGTTTTCAATCTCATAAATATAAACTGAAAAACCTTGCAACTTTATTAAAACATTAAAGACTGAAAACATTGCTGAAACACTATACACGTGAGGTCCATCACACAATTATAATCCCCATATTAAAGACATACCCGTCCAACAATCTTTCCTGACATGTTTCAGTAATATATTTACAAAATGATCCCGTGAAAATTCACTAGCCAGTCGAGCCAGTGACTCTGGAGATTTACTGGCCCGACTGAATTTTTACTAGACACGGGTTAGCGGGCCAGTTGCTATTTCGCACACTGGATACAGGAACACATAATGGATGATACTGCTGGTGAAGTATCGCGATATACTGATGACAAGAAATTAGGGAACACATAGCAATAGTGAAAGATAATAACTAATTCTGAATCCAATAACAATGGTTCCTAATTTGCTGAACGATCTGTGATTATTCTCGGTCAACACAAAATGGCATGCCTTTATTCACAAGCAGGAGCGGTTGCGTAGCCAATTGGATGAAACGCCCGGGTTCGATATTCAAGTGGACAATCTGTAATTCAGTGGGGTCACCCGTCGTGAGATGACTGAAATAATGCCACAAGCAGTATTATTCTTAATCACTTACTGATTCTTCTGTAGCGAGTCTTTATATACAAACGTCTTCGCCACAGAGAGGGACGTAGGACAATGCGTGCACCCCCACGGTGCCCGACGATGCAGGTGTAGCTGCCAGCAACTTACCTCAACAGAGATACATTGTACCTTTATCATTTCAGGATCTGGATCCTGTCCGACTCTCTTCAACTTCTACGCGCATCCTACAGACTGCAGCAAGTTTTACCGCTGTTTCTGGGGATCGCCCATCGAGTTCTCTTGCCCCGCCGGTACACACTGGAACCAACACATCCTCACTTGCGACCACGCCTACAACGTACCGTGCGCTACTGCCATCTTAGAGCCTATCTACAAATTGGTGAAGGATGATGGCTACGGTTATCAGAAGGTCGGCTTCGTCAACTACGACGGCAGCAAGGGTTACGAAAAGGGCAACTACGGGTACGTAACCAACAAGGGTTACGACAATGGTAACTACGGATACGAAAGCAATAAGGGAGACAAAGTTTACGAAGGCTCGTACGTGAGGTCCAACGACTACGACAACTACGGCAGCTACTCGGGAACCTCTGGCTACACCAAGCAGACCTACCCACCCAAAGTTGGACACAACTACGGAGGCTTCGCAGCTAGAGCAGGCTACACTAACTACAACAACGGCTACGCCAGACCACAGTATGTCACCAACGGCTACGCCAGACCACAGTATGTCACCAACGGCTACATAAAGCCCAACTACGGGGGTTACTCAGCGGGAGGTTACGCTTCACGTGCTGCAAGCGGGTATGCCCGAGTTGGAGGAAGGGTATACGGAAAGGCTTCATACGCCACCAGGAAGTATGGAAGTTGGAATGGGAAAAAATAAGATGGCGGACATCTGTGATGCTGACTTTCTACTCTGTCCACCGAAGGTCACATGACCTTCACCCTTGGACGTTCTTGACACTGTCTTTCCATTGCGCGGGTACAAAACTCTAGAAGCTGTATACATAGTATGACCTTTGTTTGATTCTATTCTTGTTTCTGCCAAATATTTGTGATAACTTCAGTTATATGCTTCACCAGTTCAAGACAACGCGTAGATCACTAACATTCTTGATTTGTCTTGCAGACTGCAGTCTCGACGATAAAACAATTGTTTTATAATTTAACAGTGACTTACACCAAGTGTAGAACTAATCAAGATCGCTTCAGACAAGTGAGTCATGTAGATGTATTGGTCTGGTACACTTGAGTGTGACTGAGGTCCTAAGATGCATACAGGAACACCTTCCAAAAGTCCATTGGACACAGTCACTAGTGAGTGTTTGGGGTTCCATGTAGGGTCATCTTGTTCAGGTAATTTATCTACCAGCTGAACTATGTAGAGTATTTGTAGTGCAGCCACACACTGCTGTTTTATAGCCTTCCCGAGCACCAGTCTGTGGCGGCGTAGCTATTAATCTAGTCAGTACAGGTATTGTGCCACGACGCACAGTGTACCAATAGATTGAGCTCTCAGCTTTATGCAGCGCGTCTTCGTGGGGTAACGTATGTACAGTTGGTGATTACTCAGTGTTCGGAGTGGCAGCGTAAATTAGCCAGACTTGCCCAAATTTTAACCGTAGCAGTAGTTCCCGTTCCCGTGCCTGTTAGTAGTCACTGCAGGTGGTCCTTCGTCTACAGCTTCGCAAGGTTCCGGTTCTAGTTGGACACCGGGACAGATTTCCGAGTGACGACGGAAACCAGCGAACATATACAGCGTGGTTCATCTAATGACGTCACTTTAGACGAACCAGAGTGTACCAAAGTAGACAGGAGAACCGAGATTTGGAGGTCTTTCGCGTTAGGTTCCGGCATACTTCAGTAGATTTTTGTACATTCTAGTTTGATATTGGGGCGGTTTTCTGTCGTCTCCTATTTATTTCTGAACCCGTGTCATGTTCTGATGAAAAATGCATAGTATATTTCTACCTTATTTTTATACACACGTGTAAATGTACTTTTGTGATGACATCATGTTCTGTTTCAATATAACTGGAATAAAGGTTGGGTATGACATTACTTTGTGTTTTATTGTCTTTGGAACATAAGGGGGAATACTGGTGACCAGGTGGTCTCGTGGTCCCACGCTTAACTTCCACTTTCGGTCCGATTATAGTCCTTGCTGTTGGGTTTCAACAAAAATGTAGATTCTACCTCCAGCATCTTAGGTTTCAATCTCATAAATATAAACTGAAAAAACCTTGCAACTTTATTAAAACATTAAAGACTGAAAACATTGCTGAAACACTATACACGTGAGGTCCATCACACAATTATAATCCCCATATTAAAGACATACCCGTCCAACAATCTTTCCTGACATGTTTCATATTTTGCCATCATAAAACGTGTGTACAATTTCTTTAGCAGGCAGTTCATATTACTGTTCAAAGCAAAGTAACAATCACTCTCGGACACGTGTCCAAGAAGAGCGAACTTTCCATGTTCAGTCATGTTTGAAAGACAAATGATTGGTTTGCTCCACACATTTAACAAGAGGTATGGACATGCATGGAAGTTATCTCACCCTGCCTCAATCCCCTTAGAGAAATAATAGAATATGTTTTGGTTCATAGAGTAGCTATGAATCCACAATTCTGTTTAGAAAGTGTTCAGATGTAGCATATATTACATTTGTGATTACAGTTCTTCAGTACAGTACAGATTCTAGTACTTCACCTTCATTCTCACGTGTGATATAGACCATTTAATTCTCATATTCAGTGGTCAATTAACCACACAACCTCAAATTCAGTCATTTTGAACATCCGATCCCTTAGACTATGTTGGTTTTGGTAATGTAAATAAATAAATAAAACATATTCACTGTATGTGATTATGAAATTTATTCATATGTAAGATTCCACATATTGTAAAATCGCTTCTCAAAATTATCACATAATTTATTGGAGTTGTTTGTACAGAGTAGCACCATGTAACCTGCATGTGGACTATCTATATGGAAACGATCTACACATATAGCTGCACAGTGCTCCACAATCCTGAATATACAACCACTACAACCATAGCACACAACTACACCCTGATATACAGGAACATATAATATATACAGCAATGAACTACTGAGCAATAAAACATTGGGGATGGTCTTCGGGTTGAACATTATCTATGTGAAGATGCAAGCATATAATAATTACCAGTGAAACCTTATTAGCCTGGACACCCTATCCTGCAGATTACTGTTGCAGACATCTTTATATACACAGACATATTACTCACTAAACTCTGGACACCTGGAATCCTGGAGACTGTCTGATTCACAGGGTTTATTCTGGGATCATTATTGTCTGAATTAAAGGGCTTCTCTGTGGACATTACTCTCTGAACTAAGAAAATGTTTCTCTAAAACATTACTATCTGGATTAAAGGGTTCCACTGTAAACAGCATTGTCTGGATTAACATGGGTTCCACTTTGAACATTGCTGTGTTAGATTAACAAGAGCTTCACCATGGACATTATAGTCAGGACTAACATGGTTACAATGTGGTCAATCAATATATAACTAATGTATAAATCTCATTCAACTTTATGCTTATTCTCAAAAGGTACAGATACATTAACATAACAAATAATCCAGGTGTAACTGTTGACATGTATTACACAACATCCTGTGTCTGAAGCCTGGAACAAAACCTCAACCACTGATTTCTAAAACATGTAAATACTATTTCCTATTTCACTGCAAATAAAAGATATATTTCACCCTTACCAACAAAAATAAGTAATATACGGGTAAGTAAAAGATGATCAAAAACACCAAAACACTAACAACAGAAAGATGTTGACACAACCAACTTAACACTTGAACCATGACGTCACCCTATTGCACATGATTCTGAGCTAGAAAATCCCTGGCCATTCTGAAAAAGCATTTTAACATGTAAACCTGACATTTTAACATGTAAAGCAACTATATGTTGCTTTATCCATTGCATTGTCATGTCAATAGAATCTGACTACAAGACATCAACAGCTCCAGCTCATGATATAACACATATATAACATACCGACTTAACATACTCTTTATCACTTGTGTACTTGATTGAATCTGGCTAGTGGCTCTTATTGGTAAGAAAATAGAAAATTATTTAAAGTGTGTTTTTATCGTCTGGTTTGCGGTGAATGTTTTGTTTTTGCGGTGAAGATCAGCACTTGAATCAGACACTGTCATACAACAATAAGAGACAGACATGAAATGCGACCAACACAAAACTCTGTATACATTTTACCAGAGGATGGCTGGTCACATGACAAAGCAAATAAGGCTATTAGTTAATACTGACTAGTTTCAAAAGGTATGTCACCCTTTCTCTGTGTGCCACAAGGCAAAAGTTTTTAATGTCTGGCGTCAAGGCACCCTTGGTTCTGTGAATCTGCATCTGTTACAGTATACAGCCAGTATGTTACAGTAACCACTAACCAGCCTATATCTTATAGTAATCATCCTATATATCACACTAATCAGCCTGTATGGTACATTAACCAACCTATATATTATAGTATTCAGTCTATATGTTACAGTATTCAGCCTATGTTGCAGTATACAGCCTCTATGTTACAGTATTCAGCCTATGTTGCAGTATACAGCCTCTATGTTACAGTATACAGCCTATGTTGCAGTATACAGCCTCTATGTTACAGTATTCAGCCTATGTTGCAGTATACAGCCTCTATGTTACAGTATTCAGCCCTATGTTGCAGCCTCTATATACAGCCTATATGTTGCAGTATACAGCCTCTATATTACAGTATACAGCCTATGTTGCAGTATACAGCCTATGTTGCAGCCTATTCAGCCTCTGTTATAGTTTTCAGTCTGTATGTTACAGTATTGACTATATGTTACAGTATTCAGCCTATGTTGCAGTATACAGCCTCTATGTTACAGTATACAGCCTATGTTGCAGTATACAGCCTCCATGTTATAGTTTTCAGTCTATATGTTACAGTATTGACAATATGTTACAGTATTCAGCCTATGTTGCAGTAAACAGCCTCTATGTTGCAGAATACAGCCTCTATGTTACAGTATACAGTCTCTATGTTGTAGTATACAGCCTCTATGTTACAGTATTCAGCCTATGTTGCAGAGTACAGCCTCTATGTTACAGTATGCAGCCTATATGTTGCAGTATTCAGCCTGTGTTGCAGTATACAGCCTCTATGTTATAGTTTTCAGTCTGTGTATTACAGTACTGACTATATGTATCCTTCTCTCGAGGGTAATACGGTCTGATGTACGCCTCTTCGTACAAAAAGGCGTAGATCAGACCGTCTTACCAGAGGGAGAAGGTTACAACGTATTTATCTTACCGCCATGTTAAATGTACAACATATCATTTTATTTTGAAGATCACTCCCAACTAGATGACATGTAAACAAAATGGCGTCTGCCTCTCGACTGGATTTTTGAACTCAGTGAAACATATTCTGACAGGCTTAAAACTGCTATCAAAATGGTTAATTATGTTTAAATTAAATGTGCAAACGATTCAATGCATAAAATAGTTTAAATAAAGCAGTGAAAGTCGGTAAAATAAATGTGTACATGGTGAACTCAAAAACAGCTAATCGAACAGTTTTCGAACTCCCTGCACTGCATGCGTCATATTTTGAGGCCATACGATTGTTGGCGATACAGCTTCTCGGTGGAGAGTTTGGCGATTACCGTGGCAGTGGGTAAAAAAATTTCCAGTTGTCACCTTCCGTCATTGACCAATGAAATTAAAGTATTTTACATGAAGGTAAGATAACATATTATGTCTGTATGCTACAGTAATCAGCCTATATGCTACAGTAGTCAGGCTATATGCTACAGTAATAGTCTCTATGTTACAGTATTCAGTCTCTATGTTACAGTATTCAGTCTCTATGTTACAGTATTCAGTCTCTATGTTACAGTATTCAGGCAAGTGGTGAGAAACATGAGTAATTTTCCAGGCAGATGTTATGATCAGTTCAGTATTGTGTGATATGGAAATGGCAAGACATGATGTGAAGGATATTTACAACACTTGGGGCAACACATCCCCTGTCTGCCACACTGAACACACACAGTATAACACTGTACGTGATCCACTGCTGGCAGACAGGAAGCTGGGGTACATTGTACAGGTAGAAGTGAGTATATCACACTGAACGCCATGATCAGCCTGACTGAAACTACATCACAACAGGCTGCAGTGTAGTTGAACAAGGGAGACTAGTGGTCAGTGATATGAGCAGCGATCAATACAACATCAAGTTGACACCTTCTTCTGCAAGATCACCATCCATCCATTTTCAGACATAATGACCAACCAATCATCATTTGTTTTCTCTAATCTCAGCTGCCGATAAAGCGCCAGGTAACCTTATGTACTGCAGCTATTACAGCCAAGCAATGTGATGAGTGAACTGTGTCTGAGTGCGAGAGAAACAGTGGCCATACAGTGGCTCATGCAGCCTATTGTGGCCATTATACACTCATACAAGCATCACTCCAAGAAGTGAGAGGGATGTATCAGCGTGGAGCCATGTTTCAGAGGTGAAGTGATCAGCTGCTAGCTTTTGACTGGAGAGAGTAGTGGATCCTCTTAGCTGTCATTCTGAAACAAACAAGCATATGATATTAGCCTTACAAAACCTACCATGCATATTTTTTTATTGTGTCTGTGTAGTCATTCAGATGTTATTTCAATCATATTCGTATATAAGTGGGTGTGTGAGTTAGGGACCATTCATAATTTATGTCTGGCAGGGTGATGATGATTTTTATGGAGAAGCAGGTACAATGTGAATGACCCCACCTAAAATTTATGTTCAAAATAAGTGACAACCCCCTGCATGTCATGTACAAAATCAATGACACCCCCCCTTCCCCTCCATAATTTCTAAGCATAATTTTAAACATATTTTTATGTACAAAATTGCTGACCCTCCCTAGTATGTGTGTACAAAATTGCTGACCCCCCTAGCTCTCCAGAACAATATGGGTGACCCCCTCTTAAAATCATCAGTATCTGTACTGTGGTGCAGATCATGGTGATGCACCTTGGTGAACTATTAGAAGCACAGAATACACATCACGGGGTTGTACAAGGTGTACTAACAAAACAAATTATCATATATCAAACCCTAATTCCCACTAGTCAACTTTGACAGAATGACGGATAAACAGCCCATTTAGCTTTTAACCTTTCCCCAGGAAACATGTTGAAAAAGGTCTTAACCTCTGACAAAGTCCTCCAAAACAAATATGGACCATTTAAGGAATGCTTGGAGATCAACAGGACTTGTATGATCAACAGCCTTTCACACATTGTCCTTAATTAGCTGGTGTTGGGGGACTGACCGCTCACTCCGAGTGTCAACAAACACATTTGTGAAAGGTGGCCACAAAAACCAGGGGGACCACTTGCTTGTATTTGTGGACTGAGCACTTTAACAAGTGTTAATAATTAAACAATTTTCAAAGTATCGTGTAAATGTTCAATTTGAGATAGCAGAAGAATGACCAGAGGTCTGTAACCGAAGCTGAAACCAGTATCTGACTGACTGGAGGCTATGTAGCTGAAACATATACTAGTAGTACAAGGCAAGGGATGACCGTTCTCTCCCCCTGCCAACAGTTGTCATACATTACTGTGTCATTCCATCGTGACATTGTTTCATAACCTCCGCTGATCTCACGGCATCTAACCCCCAACCCTATAATATAAGTCACAAAAGTAAATAAAGGAGGGCATTTTACAATAGTGGGAACTCAACTCAAGTGTACCTTTGCTGCAGAGATTTTCTGATATTGGATAAATTAACACTTGAGCAAATATATTCTACTCTATAGCATGTTATCTATAGCATGTTATCAAACACTGTACTATGGCATGGAGGATGAAGAAAGTATGTACATATACTGACACAGTGCTGGATGTTACATCTCGCCAATAGAGATCCCTGATGTGGCTGTATGATATAATAATCAGAAACAAGAGGAAAAATATACATCTATGAACTATCTTGTTCTACTAACAGCTACAAAAAAAAAGTGGTTATAAATCCTGTTAAAAGCCTCACTGAGAAAATGATCTTCTCCACCTAAAATCATGCATGATCCAACAATGGTCATGTGTTAGAAGAACATCTCCAAAGTATAAAACCCTGAAAAATAAAATTTCATACTGCCTACCACTAGGCAAACAAGAACATGGTATATGGACATATATGGTTAGTTGCTGATATTAAGGTATAACTGTTGATGATATTGAATGGATAAACTGCAAATTCTCCTCTAAATACTAGGCTAAAAATACAAGTTCCAAATCAACTCAAGACCTATTTAGCACAGTTTGGGTAAATCTGAAGTAATGGCAGAAGAAAAAACAATACAGATGTTTGAAGAGCCTTCTAAATGATTTATAGATGACAGTTCAACTTTCCTATGAAATAACATCAGATCATGACATGTGATAACATATGTATGTTATTTTGCAGAAAAGATAAAGTTTCAATTTTATCTTGTATTTTCGTGATCCTCTTTCATGATCCTACTAGAAAAGCTGAAATGAACACTTATTTGAGTGTGAAGAAAAATGTTATGGACAATTTACAAACATTTGGAATCAATGTTCCTATCTGAGAACAATGGAATGAAAGCCCCATTGTTTACTCAAAATGGCTGCTCTCTCATCCATTTACTAAGTTCAATAAGAGAGGCATATTTCGTTGTAGCTGTGGATATATACAACATGTTTTGTGAAGTGATATTGATCAGGTCAGTTGTTTTGGAGAAGAGCATTTAGTTCAGTCATGATGGACAGATGGAGAGACTGATACAATGGACAATGAAATGTGAAATATGCTCACACTGACTTTGTCAACAAGAACTAAAACTCCTCAAGAACTTGTTGCTCTAAGGTATATGAAAAACATCCCTTGATTAGATATGAGTTATATCAGCGTACGTACCTAGAATATGTGTTATCAAACACAAGTGTGTACAGCCCTGTTTGTTTGGCTGTGAGTGTGCCCTGCACGGCCTGCTTGTGGGAGTCACACTTGCAGGGGGGAACCAGGTCCTCCGCCTCGTCTACCGGGGACGACTCATTCTCCCGGTACTTTACACTGAACACAACATCCTGTAACACAAGCAGATGCATCTCATCACAGACATTACACTCTCTGTCATCTGTAGCAGCTTCACGTCACACTGTGGCTGATCTCATCACACACATTACACTCTCTGTCATCTGTAACAGCTTCACGTCACACAGTGGCTGATCTCATCACAGACATTACACTCTCTGTCATCTGTAACAGCTTCACGTCACACAGTGGCTGGCTCCCTCTCTCTTAGCTCAAAAATCTGTTTGTTTATTCCTTAACTTCACAGTGAGCAATTTTCCAGCTATATGATGGCAGAGTGGTAAATTACAGTCTGGACAACAAAATCCAATGATTGACATCATGAGCTTCAATCCACACATTGGGATTCAATGACATTCATCAATGTAGTTAGCGAGCCTGACCACCCACTCCCGTTAGTCACCTCTTAAGACAAGCATGGGTTGCTGAAGATCCATTCTGATCCAGGTCTTCACAGGTTTAAGCTCAAAACAAATACATAACAAAACAGAATAGGTCTTTTCATGATCTCTTCCTATGCCTATATTCATAGCCAATATCTGTGACGGGGGTGATGTTCTCTCAGCATTATATAAATCGCAACTTACGGGATTTACTTCAAGATTTGTTTTTCTCCTATAATGAAGGGCATCGCTGGGGAAACAAGACTTTAACACATATGCATGTGAGGAATCAAACTCTGTTTCCTAGCAAGACAAGAAACACTTCAACCACTGGGCCACCCTGCCATCTTCTTTCTACACTACTCTTACCTTGGGTTGAGACGTGAACTCCCAGCACAGCTCAGTGTTGACTGTGTCAATGACAATCGGCACAACAAAAGTGTTTCCTGGCTTGATCCAGATCTCATTCTGACGGTTTATCTCCCCCTTTTCCAACTCTTCAGCCGACAAGATCATGCTGCTCGTCATGCTGCAACCAATCAAATCGTTGGTAACATTCTGCTGTCAATGACAATACAGTTGTACCCAGGAAGGCCATCTATGCAAACTTGTTCTTCTCAATTGAAAGGCTGGTTTATGAAGGTGTGTTATATATATAAAGACATTCTTAAACTTGTTAAATTTACTGTCACACCTGCTGATGTTGCTGACAACACCTACCTGGTAAATAATACAATACTGCTCATGGGTTTGACCAGCCCTTATACAAGAAAAGTGGCACTTTAACTATTTGCCAATCAGACGAATCTATCATAATGTGCATGTAGAGCACATGCATAGTGAATGCATCTCAACAGCATGAATAGTTAATACATCTACACAACATGAATAGTGAATACATCTACACAACATGAATAGTTAATACATCTACACAACATGAATAGTTAATACATCTACACAACATGAATAGTGAATACATCTACACAACATGAATAGTTAATACATCTACACAACATGAATAGTGAATACATCTACACAACATGAATAGTGAATACATCCACACAATATGAATAGTGAATACATCTACCAAACATGAATAGTGAATGCATCTACACAACATGAATAGCGAATAGTTAATACATCTACACAACATGAATAGTGAATACATCTACACAACATGAATAGTTAATACATCTACACCTTATGAATAGTTAATACATCTACACATCATGAATAGTGAATACATCTACACAACATGAATAGTGAATACATCTACACAACATGAATAGTTAATACATCTACACAACATGAATAGTTAATACATCTACACATCATGAATAGTTAATACATCTACACAACATGAATAGTGAACAGATCCACGTAACATGAATACATGAACACAAAATGAATAGTTCAACATGAAAAGTGAATAAATCTACACAACATGAATAGTGAATTAATGTCCACATGAGTATTCAATATATTCACAACAAGAATAATCTACACATGAATAATGAATACGACAGGGATAGATCATTCTGTCACCCAAAAAGTAATATTAACTATAAACAAACATGACTAAAAAGAAAAATAGATGATTGCTAGCAAAAATTAGAAAAAGAACAGAAAAGATAATGAAGAAAGAATTATGAAAAAGAATGTATGTGATATGATGGGGGTTAGCCAGTATGTTAAACAAGCACATGTGAAATACAAAAACAGCTTTCACATCACATACCTACATCAATTTACCATGTTTACACTTGATGACGACCATTTCAGACATGCCCATGTTAGTTGATAGATAAAGCATACTGGTACAAGGATTAGTACAGGTGTCATAGTAATAAAACATTGTCAGAAATATACACCAGGCTCAAAGCATAAGCTGACTTCTTTACTTTCCACTGTCCCAAATTTCTATGGCTTTTGGGAATATCTATGAAAAATATCATCTGACATATTTTTTATAAGTATCCTCAATATCATGGTTACTGCTAGGTAGGTTAGTACCTGGTACATTCCCCCAGATGGTTGCAGGTACTGCATCATATGACACAAAGGAGCAGAACAGAGGCGACAGAGGTCTATTGAGTGCTATATCAACAGAGTCTCTGGGAAAGTGAAGAAGACATGAAGTATTGCAACACTATTTGCAATGATAAGGCCCAGAGAAAATAATAATTAAGTGAACATAATTGAATCTTTTGTAGGCCATTAGCCAATATCATCCAAATCTGATCATCTGTTCTTATATGGTACCGGTCTTTATGAATATCCTAAAACATCCTTATGAGGCCAAGTAAGGTATACTGCTAAATCGGCCAGTTAGAGTTGAGGCTGCTAAATTCTAAGTATAAATGAGCCCAGCATATATATATGAGCTGTATATCATCACACAATTTTGTTCTTCAATATGTTTGCCCTGGTAACCATACCTAAAATCAGATCAGAAATCTGTGAGCGCCAGTAGTAGTACAATGGGGTTCTATTACAGGGTACCCTATTGGTTTATTTTGGTTTTATAACGGGAAACATCATATCTGACATCATTCGTGCAAAGTTTCATTTCAGCTTCACATGGCGATGTTCAAAATGCACCAGCATCAGAAGCATGTGGGATAAGTTTAAGTCGGAGATTACAGCTGGATCATGCCCCAGTCGTATGACATTCATCACACCACATACTTGCTACATAACAAATTTCAAATGATACATGCAGAAATGTGTGAGTATTGAGTAAAAACAATTTCAAAATGTACCACAGTAAACGTATACAAATTGGAACCAAAATCTGTGTGTAATCTTAAGAACACAGAAGCTTGGATCAGTCACATAACATTTCGGATCTACAGACCTTATAGTTTCAGTGGAGGTGTAACATAACAACCTGCCAGTAGCTCAGGAACATCACACCCAGACCATCTGAATGCTGTACATAACAACCTGCCAGTAGCTCAGGAACATCACACCCAGACCATCTGAATGCTGTACATAACAACCTGCCAGAAGCACAGGAACATCACACCCAGACCATCTGAATGCTGTACATAACAACCTGCCAGGAGCACAGGAACATCACTCCCAGACCATCTGAATGTTGTACATAACAACCTGCCAGAAGCACAGGAACATCACTCCCAGACCATCTGAATGTTGTACATAACAACCTGCCAGAAGCACAGGAACATCACTCCCAGACCATCTGAATGTTGTACATAACAACCTGCCAGTAGCTCAGGAACATCACTCCCAGACCATCTGAATGTTGTACATAACAACCTGCCAGTAGCTCCAGGAAGCTCCCAGACCATCTGAATGTTGTACATAACAACCAGCCCAGAACATCACTCCCCAGACCATCTGAATGTTGTACATAACAACCTGCCAGTAGCTCAGGAACATCACTCCCAGACCATCTGAATGTTGTACATAACAACCTGCCAGTAGCTACTCCAGGAACATCAACCTCCCAGACCATCTGAATGTTGTACATAACAACCTGCCAGTAGCTCAGGAACATCACTCCCAGACCATCTGAATGTTGTACATAACAACCTGCCAGTAGCTCAGGAACATCACTCCCAGACCATCTGAATGTTGTACATAACAACCTGCCAGTAGCTCAGGAACATCACTCCCAGACCATCTGAATGTTGTACATAACAACCTGCCAGTAGCTCAGGAACATCACTCCCAGACCATCTGAATGTTGTACATAACAACCTGCCAGTAGCTCAGGAACATCACTCCCAGACCATCTGAATGTTGTACATAACAACCTGCCAGTAGCTCAGGAACATCACTCCCAGACCATCTGAATGTTGTACATAACAACCTGCCAGTAGCACAGGAACATCACTCCCAGACCATCTGAATGTTGTACATAACAACCTGCCAGTAGCTCAGGAACATCACTCCCAGACCATCTGAATGTTGTACATAACAACCTGCCAGAAGCACAGGAACATCACTCCCAGACCATCTGAATGTTTCAGCTTGATCCAAGTGTGCAAACTGCCACTACACCATGAAGCAGCCATATCTACATAGATTAATGTAATAACATGGCCTGTCTCACTAAAATCAGATATTTCACTCCAACATGATACCTCTCTGTTTGAAAATATTACAATGCTTCCATAGAAACTTGCAAGAAGTGAACCCCAGTCAAATTGGATTATACATGGTTTCTTGAGTCAGTAAGATGTCAGTGTTGTGTCTTCTGTCTAACTATTTGGGTGTGGATGCCACAGTGTTAAAAATACATGTATACAATATCTACAGCACAGAGCTTGACATTCACCCAAATTCCCAAACAAGACCACAGGACCAGTAACATTTAAAATCACTGATCCTTACAGATTCTTACTGGTCTTGCTAAGGGACTCTTAATGTCAAATTCAAATCTGCACTTGCTTTGTAGAATTTTATACATTCATACGTTATCATGTTCACTTGGTTTTTTTATTCATTCATTCATTTTTTTGGAAAGCTCAAAACTTGTACAATTATATTGACAGCCTTAAATATCTACTAGGCGTCGGGATAGCACTTATCAAAGTTGCACTGGTCAGTCAACATTTTACTAGACCCAGTGGGATAGCGTGAATGTCGAGCCCTGCAGCAATTGTATAAAGCAGCTACCTTATTTTGCATCATGAACCCTGCAATAGTGTTTGGAAAAACAAAATAACATACACCACATACTGAATGATTCAGCCAATCCTATAGAATGTAGAAGCCTGTTCAGCAACTGAGGGCTTGAGATAAGGAGACAGTTCACCTGACGTTATCGAGTTATTTCACCAGACTAATGCACCAGACTAATGCACCAAAACACCTCAGACTAATGCACCAAAACACCTCAGACTAATGCACCAAAACACCTGACTAATGCACCAAAACACTTCAGACTAATGCTCAAGCGCGTAGCAAGCCATTTTTTTCGTGCAAGCCCGATAGGTTGCAAAGCTTTATATTTACATAATGCTGAAGGCTTGCCCAACAATAATAGCAAAAATCATGAGTAAGCCCGGGCTTTTGTTTATAATGGTAGCTACAGCCCCTGCCCAAAACACCTCAGACTAATGCACCAAAACACCTCAGACTAAAACAAATGGAGAATTAGTTGCACAGACAACACAGATTGTAATCTCTAGGCCACAAGGAATCCATTTGGAGATATTACTAACAGCCAATCTCATTTCAAACCCCATGTAACTGCTTCAGTTGAATCAATCAACTGACACCTACATGTTTGTTAATAAGAAAGAAAACTTGTCCTGAATGCAAAAATGACAAAATTTACATAATATTTCTGGATGTTCTGTAGTGAGTGAGTTTAGTTTTATGCCACTTTTAGCAATATTCCAGCAATATTCCATTTAACTGCTAGGCTACCCCACCGCCCCGATTTTCTGGAAATTAGATGAGGATCTGCTTATGAGTTCATTGTGGCCTGAGATGTATTTGCACTAGTTATACAGGGTTACACAGGGTACAGACTCTAGCTACCGTTGTGCAGCAACACAACCAGCACTCACTTCGCACTCAGCGTGGAACTCAGTGTGTCTGGCTCATACTCAGTCAGAGATTTAGAAACTTCTTCATCCGTGATGACGTGGAAGGGATCCTCCCGCTCTGGACTCACAGTTGCTCCTCTAGGGGGCGCTTCTGCCTGCTCGCTCACACTGACCATGGGAATAGCATCATCACAACATGCTCAATAGTACAGGAGAATTGAGTTGTTTTCAGAACAAGCATTTACAAACAGTACGTGAATATTCCCTCATCTCTCAACACATTTATTGTCATGAATCACACTTGGACAGAATACATTCATAATTTCAGTGTTTGAGTAAGTCAAATGTAAATTCAAACATGAGGAAAAGATGAAAGTTGTAGTTGTATGCTACTGATGAAGCAGGGGAAGCCGAGACTCTAGCCAACCACTGCTGACTCGGAGCAAGGGAGGTAACTCTGGACAGAGACTTGCTGAGGGTAAGAACACTGCCCCTGCTAAAGAGTGGAACTATTCATTAAGCCTCTAAGGACACCCGTGTTGTGTGTGCATTATCTTTCATCCCTCGCCCAGCGATATCACACTGTATTATCAGTCCGGTAAATAACTAAATCTTGACCAGACAGAGTGCTGGATGATATGGTTGTGTTCACTATTGGATTAATCCTATACCCAGCATATACTGCTCAAAAGAAATGCAGGTCCTTTTATTCAACTTAATCTGTCACAACATCGTCCATAACTTGTAGTGTAAGCCAATGTGGTAGTGAACAGATTCTAGTATCAAGTATATAATGCTGACTGCAAAGAGCCGTACCCTCCTCAGCCAGATGGAGAACTCGGCCTTGCACTTGAGACAGTTTGTTGCAGTGTTGTTGTCCATCCATGTCTCCTTGGCCTGCACCTTCTGCTGGTAGGCCAGCTGGTCGGTCTTCTGCCACAGCTGGTCCTTGTCCCTGACAGACAGGCAGGAGAGAGCATATACCACACATCATACTTCAGACATCACAGATACAGGCATTACAGCATGCATGGATTTCAAGTGAGACTCTTCCTAAAGGGCAATCCATTTGATCAAAGCAGTGATTGAGTTTTATTTCTAATGTTTGCCTATAACCCTGTGATTTCTTTCTCCAGTATAAACAACCCCATTCACCCAAACTCACTGGAACAGATTCAGCAGTTTCTGCCTGAGCTGCTTTAGGTCAGTTCGAACACTGTGATCTCCTCATTCTCAACTCCAAAACTGCCTTCCATCCATCATCATATCCACATTCATATCCAGCCCCATATATACCCTTCCATCCATACCATATCCACATTCATATCCAGCCCCATATATACCCTTCCATCCATCACCATATCCACATTCATATCCAGCCCCATATATACCCTTCCATCCATCATCATATCCACATTCATATCCAGCCCCATATATACCCTTCCATCCATCACCATATTCACATTCATATCCAGCCCAATATATACCCTTTCATCCATCATCATATGCACATTCATATTCAGCCCCATATATACCCTTCCATCCATCACCATATCCACATTCATATCTATCTACCATTCCACCCACCCCTTTATCTACCCTTTCATCATCACCATTCCACACTTATATCCACCCTTCCATTCACCCTTATATTCCTTCCTATATCTACCATTCCATCCACCCTTATATCTACCCTTCAATCTCTATATTTACCTTTCCATCCACCCCAATATCAACATTCCTTCCACCCTTCCATCTACCCCCATACCCACCCTTCCATCTATCCCTACATCCGCCCCAACTCACCTACGAGCTTCAGTAGTTTCCGTTTGAGCTGTTTCATATCGGCCTTCAGACCTGTGATCTCCTCGTCCTTGTCCTGGAGGAGCTGGTTGTACTTCTCCTCCACAGAATCCATGTCAGTCTGAAGCAAAATCACAACACTCGATCTCAAATGTTCTTGTACATCCTTGTCAACCATGCTGAGAAACAACCACATGTACTGACATTCCCTCGGACTCCCTGAATCCCTGCTGATAGGATACAGACTCGTACAACTTACTAAGAGAGAGTGTTGATACACAAACATCTATATAAAAAACATCCAGTCTGTCTCATAGTACCTGAACCATAATATTTCCCTCCCACCCAGCACTTCCTGGAAATCAAAATTCCTCATATTCTGAATGTCCCATCTCACTGAACATGCCTTTAATCTTTTATAGTCATTTGTATCTACTAACATTATACTGTTTCAGACATTAAACATTAATCTTAAACTGTTGTATACATTTACTTTTCACACATATCTGAAATACTGTTCTCCTGAAGAGTTTGCCTGACACAGCAACTCTGAGACACTTGTGTTGACATGAGTTTAGGACATTATAGTTCAGACATTATGGCCATATAGTGATGTCGACACATATTGCATACAAGTCTTAACCTACCAATAGCAAATACCTTGGAGGAGCAAAGTATTGTATGATGAACTCGTCATTACACATTTCACAGACCTGGTACTGTAATGTTTGTATTTTTTCAGCAGTAACATGTTAACATATTTCCAATAAGAATAGTAATAAATGTCTTGGGACAGCTGGACAATTGGTTCAGTGCCAGGTCGCTCCTGGGCTGACAGTGGTACAGTCGCCTCTCACCTCGAGCCTCTCTCTGGTATCTCTCTCCGACACTAGCTCCGTCTCAGTCTGCAGCATAGAACAACATGGATCCACATAAACAAGGAAAAAGATGGATCCACATAAACAAGGAAAAACATGGATCCACATAAACCAGGAACAAGATGGATCCATATAAACAAGGAACAATATGGATCCATATAAACAAGGAACATGGATCCACATAAAACAAATAAACACTATGGATCCACATGAACAAGGAACAATATAGATCCACATAAACAAGGACCAACATGGATCCACATGAACATGGAACAACATGGATCCACATAAACAAGAATAACAGGGATCCACATAAACAAGGAACAACATGGACCCATATAAACAAGGAACAATGTGGATCCACAAAAAACATAGAACATGGATCCGAATACATAAGGAATAACAGGGATTCATATAAAACCATGGTACCATGTGGATTGATATTTTTTGTGCCAAAACAAACACAGAATAACTAGGACCCAGTGTGTATTAAAGACATTACCAAATAGCAACACACAGATGCCAGTCATTAAATATGGAATGATATGAATCCAAAAGAATTATGCAACCATAGAAACAACATCCTGATATAAAGGATGAATACATACCATCTGTAGCTTTTCAGATAGCTTGTTATTTTCTTCATTCCTTTCTTTCAACTGTGAAGTCAAGCTTTCAACCTGCAAATAAAGTAAACCCTTGACAATTAATAACTCATCACAGATTCCTGGGGGCTGCTTAAGTTTTAAGACAGTTCATGCTTATTGAAATATCCCTATTTTTCAACAATTCAATGAGGGAGTTAAGGATTCAATGCATCTTCGAAAGAATTTCAGTAATATCATATAGGCTTACTGGAGGAGGAAAGAGAAATGAGATGCAAGTTTTAGATGGGCTACTATCAAATCAAGGATCAAGGATGCAAATTCAGGATTCGAACAGATGTCAACTGAAACCAGATAAAAGCAACTGCAAGAGTGAGCAATCAGTCCCTAAAAACCATCTAAATCTTCTTGGGTAAGGAATCTTTCTGCTTAACCATTCTGCTAATCAGTTACATCTATGAGCTGTAACAGCCCAGTGTGAACACACCTGTTGGGTCACCTTCATTGTCTCCTCCTCTTTGCCTGTCTGTAGTGATGTCACTTCCTGTTCAAGCTGCATAATGGTTGCTTCCTGTTCAGCCAGCTTGTTGGTCAGTTCGGTCACCTCATGATCCTGATCAGTGTAGCTCTGGACCCACAAACAGATATTGCATGTGAGTTCACAGCAATTCATGTGTTTAAACAAACATCAGAAGTATTTGAGCATTAGAAAACACCATTTTCACTTGATATCTTCTAGGGATGTTGGATCAGTTAAAAATGATATGGCATCACAGGTATCATGAGGAAACAACAAAGTCTGATCGGCTAATGACCAGTATCGTAGACTATATATTTTCTTTACCTCAGACAGTCTATCTACCCTAACACACTCAAGACTTTCAATCCAGCCTGCGTAACTCTACCATCTACCCCAAGTGACTCTACCACCTACTCTGACTGACTCCAGCACCTACAAGAAGTGACTCTACCATCTTCCCTGGCTGACTCTACCACCTACCCAAAGTGACTCTACCACCTACACCAAGTGACCCTACCATCTACCCTGAGTGACTCTACCATCCAGCCTGAGTGACTCCACCTACACCCAGCGCTTCTACTAACAATCCTGAGTGACTCCATCCTCTACCCCGAGTTATTGGACCAACTAAAGTGAGTGACTCTCCCACCTACTCAGAGTAAATGTCTGACCTAACCCAAGTTACTCAACTACCTACACTGAGTGACTCTTCATGCTGCATCTGCTCAGCACTGAGCTGGAACTGGAGAGCTGAGATCTCCTGGTTGAGAGACTCTATCTGAGTCTGCAAGGCTGACTGTGTTCCAGACATTGACTCTAGTTCCTCACATCGCCTTGATCTCTCCTCCAGTGACTTCTCCAACTCTGTAACATTACTTGTCAGTTTTAGAACGGTCTGCTGGAGTTCTTCATTATTGCTCTCTTTCTCATCCACATTATTCTCTGCCTTATCCAAGGATTTCTTCAAATCCTCTCTGTCTTCTTCTGCTTCTCTTAACTGATCCAGTAATGTCTCTTTATTTTTCTCTAGGCTCTGGAGACTTTCTTCAAACTGTTCCAATTGTGACTTTGATACTTCCAGTTTTTGCTCTAGAAGAGTTATCGCTTCATCTTTCTCCGTCACTGTGGTATCTCTAACAGTCTCAAGATCTTTCAAATTTTCCTTCAATTTATCCAACTCAGATATCAAACTTTCCTTTTCTTTTTCAATACTTTCTTTGGCAGAAGCAAACTCTTGTCCCTCCTCTTCAAACAGATTGAGTTTTGCCTTCAGTTCCTTGTAGCTTGCCTCCAGATTTTTGAGGATATTTGTTACCTCTTCCTTCTCTTGCTCTGCTCTTTCTTTCAAGGAACATGCTTGCTCCAGTTCATCTGATGTCTCCTTCAGTTGAGTCTTTATTATCTGGGTGTCACTGAGTACTTCCTCCAGCCGAGTGTTGAGCTGGTTCCTCTCCATCTCATGAGTCTTGAGCATCTTATCATATTTCTCCTCCTGAGATTTCAGATCCATTTGGACATCAGTGACTGTTGCCTTGAGAGTCATGACCTCCTCTGAGCTGACTTTCAACTTCTGTTCTACCTCCTGTCGTGACATCTGCTCTTTGTCAATCAATCCTTGAAGATTCTGACACTCACTTTGCGAGGAGGTGAGAAGCGCTTTCACATTACTGACCTCTCCTTCCAAATTTCCTTTTTCTTTCTCCATTTCAGACTTCAGTTTTGTTGTCTTTTCTAAGTCATCCTTCAGGTTCTGTTTTTCATTTCCAACTGACTTGATTATGTTGTCCTTCTCACTGATTTCTCTATCCTTCATCCTGACTAGCTCTTCATGATGTTGAGCATCTTTCCCTTTCAGATCTGCTGCTGTTTGCAGTCTTTCATTAGTAGTTGCCATGGTGACATTGAGGTCATTGAGATCATGGGTCAGAGATGATACCTTTTCCCTGAGAGAAACATTATCAGATTTTATCTGTTCATTTGCTTCATTCAAACTGGAACATTTGTCCACCAACTTCTCATGTTTTGTCTTGAGATCGGAGTAATTTGAACACTGATCCTGCAGCAGACGTTCCTTCTCTGTCAGATCATTTCTCAAACTTGATTCAAGTTCTCTTGCATCACCTAGTGATTGCTGTAAACTAGAAAATTTCTCTTCCAGGTTCTGGAGTTGTGTCCCTTTATCTGACTCTCCTGCTTGTAGATGACTCAGTTTACCCTGAAGGATCTCTTTCTCACTTTCCATGTCAGAGATCTTGGTCGACACCTTCTGAACATGCAGCGATATTGAAGACATCATTTGTCTACAGTCAGATGTATCAACAGAATCCTAGGATAAAAAGAACACAAAAATAAACAATTTTGATGATTAACAATATCATTGTACCAGTAATTGTTAAAAACTTTTCATACAGAGAAAAGGCCTATACTTATCTGCCTGCAGAAAGTCTGACCATAATGACATCTGCTACTTGTGTGACTGACTTACCTGCTGTATGCCACACATCTCAAGGACATCTACAACTGCCTCCTTCTGTTCATCCAGTCGACCTGATAATTTCTTCAGCTCAGCCTCCTTCTCCTGCAGCTCTAGCTCTGCCTGACGCAGCTCCGACTGTGTCTGGGCATGGGCAAGATCAAGGTCACGCTGCTGTGTCTCATTGCTCTGCTGGAACTCTCCAAACGCTTTGCGCAGTTCATCAAGATTGTCCATGATGTATTCTTTCTCACTGGCTAGTTTCTCTCGCTCAACATTCAGTTGACTTTTCTCCAAGGTCAGCTGCCTGATTTCCTCCCTCATCTCGTTCATCCTCTTTGTGATTGTTTCTTGACACAACTTGACATCACCCAAGAAAGTATCAACTTGAAACCGACTGCCATCAATGTCATCAATACTGTCTGAACCTGCCAGAAGGTTGAGTTGGGTGTAACACTGAACAAGCATATTGTCCTTAACTCCAGATTTCAAAATCAGTTCTGAAATCTCTGATGATAGATTTTCAATTTCTGAACTCTTAAGATTCACTTCATCATTCTTTCCCATGAGATCAGCCTGCAAGGACTCTATTGTCCTTGTGTTGGATTCAGTCAAATCTTTGAATTCATTTTGAAAATTTAACATGCTTTTTTCTGATTCTTGTTTCACTTTCAAAACAGTTTCTTCAAGACCACTTTTCACTCTTTCAACTGACTCGACATTCTTTTCCAGGTGCTCACATTTCTTTGACAGTTCTTCATTGGCTGTCTGCAGTCTCACGTTGACTAGTTCCACCTCCTTCAGATGGGCCACGACTTCATGCAACTTGTTTGCTGCCTCCAGCTGACTTGTAGCCTTTGATTCCTTACCATCCAGTGAAGCTTGTAATTGGGTCAACAACTCTGTGTTCTTCTCCTCGCTGACCTTGACCTTTACTTCCAGTGACTCAATCTGTTCTCCTTTCCTTCTCTCGGACTCAGAGGTCAAGGAAATCTCTTTCTCCAAAGCTTTTGTTTGAACAAGTAGTTCTGTTCTGTCAGCTTCCAGTCTTTCTACTTCAGCTTTGTGCCTCTCATTAATGGCCACCACCTCCCTCCTGACATCATCCAGTTGTGACCTGACCTGCTCAAACTGTCTGTCAGCCTCTGTCTTCTGCTCCTTGAGAGCCTGCAGCTGATTGGTCAGGTCTCGCTCCTTACTCTGCCAATCTTTCTCAGTACTGTTATTTTCAATACACATCTTGTCATGTCTGAAAGGTAAAACAGAAACTGACTTCAGAACATCAAATATCTGTTCATCAAAATAGCAAGCACATATATTTTCTATGCATGAAACATGACATATAAATATCAAGAAAATGTTTAGCAAAGGATTTCAATCAGTGATTGGGCTATGTTTGCATGATCACAACTAGTTCTCAGTGATGAAATTCCACCAATTTCTAATACTTCTCAAAGGTGAAGTTCCAGTACAGTGCAACACTCTGCATGGAAGAAGCCTATTCATTTACTGTGAGGTTGTAGTGTATGGAGTGTGGAGGCAACACATGATGCCACATGATGAGTCTTCAGCATCAACATAAATGAGATCTGGGATACTGATGGTGAAGTGCTGTGTTCATCCAGACACACTATGGAGCATGGTATGTCGCAAGGTTTGTGTAAATGTTGAAAGTACAGGCAGAATAGGTCTACTTTTCCACTGACAGTTGTCAAAATAGCTGGATTATTGCCGACTTGAGTAAAACTACATTCGTTTACTCACAACAAAGGACAATACTATACATCAACTGGCTGTGACATTATCAGTTCCCCCAGACTTGCCTCTTCTCCAGCTGGAGGTGACGTTCCTGCAGCTCTGTGTGCTGTTCCTGGAGGTCTCGAAGCTGCTCCTGCACGGCGTTCAACTCCCCCTGCGTGGACCACACAGACTGGCTCACCTCCATCTTCTCCTGCTGGAGGGACCCAACCTGACAGAAACACACTACATGACAGGGGCACAAACATCACATGCACCAAACACAACATTTAGAAAAGTCTTCACATATACAAATGTTTGAGTTCCTGCTCTGACCAGTATGTTACAGCAAAATATAGGAGGAAAGCTGAAAGTGAAACAGGTTGCCGATTTTCTGCAAAATACATGTGAAAGGGAATATCACTGAGAGGATCATGATGGAGGTGAACGTTGTACTTAACACCCTGGTCTGCAAAGGGACATAACTCTGTACAGGTAAATGTAGTATCCTACACCACTGGCTCTCATGTGAAACCCCATGACATGTACAGTGTCCTGTCTCACATCATTTGTATCATCCGAGCTCAATAGATGCTGCAGACCAAAGTCCATGGACCTTATTACTGATCTGTCCTTAATCATATACAGAAATAGAGCTTGGATCATTTGGAAAATGGGACCCTTGACAAATGGAGTTGGCAGTTGCTATGACAACTCTATTCTATACTCAAGAGCCCCAAGTTACACCTGGCTTGTGCTGACCTGATCCATAAGCTGTGTCCGGACGGTCTCGGATGTCTCAAGGTCCTGGGTCAGCTTGTCCACCTCACTGGAGCTGGAGTCCACATAGAGGGGCACACTCAGCAGACTTGATGTGTCCTGCAGCACAGACACACTCTAAATAGTCATAGATCAAAACATCCATCCCTAACATCAACATCAGTAAAATCAGACTTGATGTGGTGCATGCAGCACAGATACAGCACAGACACACTCTTAATAGTCATAGATCAAAACATCCATCCCTAACATCAACATCAGTAAATAATCAGACTTGATGTGTCCTGCAGCACAGACACACTCTTAATAGTCGTAGATCAAAACATCCATCCCTAACATCAACATCAGTACATAATCAGACTTGATGTGTCCTGCAGAGATATTGCTAATAGTCATAGATCAAAACCTCCATCCCAGTGGGTATGTTGTACTGTCGGTACTGTACACTCCACTAGCACCTTCAGACATGTCCTAGCATGGAGCTAGTGGGTATGTTGTACTGTCTGTACTGTACACTCCACTAGCACCTTGATACATGTCCTAGCATGGAGCTAGTGGGTATGTTGTACTGTCTGTACTGTACACTCCACTAGCACCTTGAGACATGTCCTAGCATGGAGCTAGTGGGTATGTTGTACTGTCTGTACTGTACACTCCACTAGCACCTTCAGACATGTCCTAGCATGGAGCTAGTGGGTATGTTGTACTGTCTGTACTGTACACTCCACTAGCACCTTAGCATGGACATGTCTGTCTGTAGCTGTACACTCCACTAGCATGGACAGCTAGTGGGGTATGTTGTACTGTCTGTACTGTACACTCCACTAGCACCTTGGAGCTAGTGGGTATGTTGTACTGTCTGTACATGTCCACTAGCATGGAGCATGGAGCTAGTGGGTATGTTGTACTGTCTGTACTGTACACTCCACTAGCACCTTCAGACATGTCCTAGCATGGAGCTAGTGGGTATGTTGTACTGTCTGTACTGTACACTCCACTAGCACCTTGATACATGTCCTAGCATGGAGCTAGTGGGTATGTTGTTGTACTGTCGGTACCTGTACACTCCACTAGCACCTTGAGACATGTCCTAGCATGGAGCTAGTGGGTATGTTGTACTGTCTGTACTGTACACTCCACTAGCACCTTCAGATACATGTCCTAGCATGGAGCTAGTGGGTATGTTGTACTGTCTGTACTGTACAGTCCACTAGCACCTTGATACATGTCCTAGCATGGAGCTAGTGGGTATGTTGTACTGTCGGTACTGTACACCCACTCCACTAGCACCTTCAGACATGTCCTAGCATGGAGCTAGTGGGTATGTTGTACTGTCGGCACTGTACATGTCCACTAGCACCTTCAGACATGTCCTCCACTAGCATGGAGCTAGTGGGTATGTTGTAGTGGGTATGTTGTACTGTCTCAGGGACATGTACTGTACACTCCACTCCAGCACCTTGAGACATGTCCTAGCATGGAGCTAGTGGGTATGTTGTACTGTCGGTACTCAGACACTAGCATGGAGCTCCACTAGCACCTTCCACTAGCATGTCCTAGCATGGAGCTAGTGGGTATGTTGTACTGTCGGTACTGTACACTCCACTAGCACCTTCAGACATGTCCTAGCATGGAGCTAGTGGGTATGTTGTACTGTCGGTACTGTACACTCCACTAGCACCTTGATACATGTCCTAGCATGGAGCTAGTGGGTATGTTGTACTGTCGGTACTGTACACTCCACTAGCACCTTGATACATGTCCTAGCATGGAGCTAGTGGGTATGTTGTACTGTCGGTACTGTACACTCCACTAGCACCTTGATACATGTCCTAGCATGGAGCTAGTGGGTATGTTGTACTGTCTGTACTGTACACTCCACTAGCACCTTGATACATGTCCTAGCATGGAGCTAGTGGGTATGTTGTACTGTCGGTACTGTACACTCCACTAGCACCTTGAGACATGTCCTAGCATGGAGCTAGTGGGTATGTTGTACTGTCTGTACTACTCCACTGCACAGACTGTCCACTAGCACCTTGAGACATGTCCTAGCATGGAGCTAGTGGATAAGTTGTACCATAGACTTCACTAGATCCTTCAATACCTGTACTAGTAGGTAAACTGCTGTACTGTGCACTGACCTGCATTGAGATGGAAGCCATGCTGCTGATGCTGGAGCGCCTGCTTGGCGGGTTCCATGTGTAATTACCTCCCTGCTTCCTGGCGGAAATATAAACATGAGGTAGGCTATAATCTCTGTGTCATGTAGTGAGAATAGGCTCACATCACTCTTCCTAAAATTGTGCCATAAGTTCATAAATCTGAAAGTTTAATATATATTTTACTCATGCTAACACATTCAAATAAAACATACATGTAAAACACAAAATGCCTTTGTTTGTACTTAAGTGATTGAAACTTGTGCTTTGGTTATGTTGTCTTACTTGGCAAATGAGGGCCATGCTGTGTCAAGGTCATAACCTCTAGGTGAAAGGTCAAAGTGCACATCAGTGAGATCATAGAGAGAGTTGATGAGCCCACTTGTTAGCCCTTTCTGGTACCACACACTCTGGGGGTGGAACCACTCCCTGGAACATACATAAACTGTTTTACATAAACATTGCTGGGCTTAATCATTGACAATGATGCAGGGCTGACTGGGCATTGTTTTACTAGTGTAGTTTCAACAAAAATTTACAAATTACATCTTCGGTAGTAGTAACATTTGTGATGCTAAATTCTAAAGGTAAGCTGCTGTATGACACTAGATTAACATGTGTCAACTTTTAATCTGTTTGAAGTTGAATTACTCTTGTAAACTCAGTTAGATTATGTTGTTAGTGTCTGCCTTTCTACACACAACCATGCAATACTGTATTTATAGACATGATCTACATTAGGACAGGAATTCACATCGTTTAATCAAATTAGATCTTAAAACTAACAAATAAAATACTAAACAGACCTTTTCACTCATCGCATAAAATTGCTATTACACAAGGGATTGTTAAGTATTCAGTATATCTTTATCCCAAACAACTTGCCTCATACTACCACCTCTCTCTAAATACCCAACATCTCTATTGGCCCCATGTCTCTATTCCCAGCAAATGACCCAACCACCCCCCTCCCACGGCCCACACCCCCTTCCTACCTTCCCTGACATTACAATCCCTACTACTGGTCCAATATGGATACTGGTCTGTTATTACTACCCCTGTCTACTGACCCTGTTTTAGGGTGCTGCACGCACTGCTGAATGGTGTCGGGTAGGCGCTGATGCACCAAAGAAAAACGCAGGAATGCTCGGCCCTTTCCCAATGAAGTCTTATGCTGTGAGACAGAAATCAACATGTGACTTATTTTCAGAATACACAATAAACACAACAGGAAGGATCTAAAACACCCACAACAGAGCTGTAGCATAAAATCCTAATTAGTATCTATAGTTGTTACACTTATGGCCATATAAATAGTAATCAGCCAATACTGACAGTAGACCATTGGCGGATCCAGAGGGGAAAAAAAAATTAAGACCACATGGATGATTTTTTTGTGTTGGTGGAGCCAATGGGGGGGTTCAGGGGCTTTGACACCCACCCCCCCCAATTCCTGGATCCGCCCATGCAGGAGACCATTTATCTCTCCTAACATATATACAGAATGCAAAGCATATGAAATAATATCACCATGATCAATTCCCATACACATATGGTTCCAGCAATATAGACCTTAATTTATATTTTCCAATGACATTACAAATTTGTCTAAGAATCACATTCCCTTGGTTCTGATGATACACACCTCTCCCAGTGACTTGACGTATTTGATGCCATCGTTGATGCCCTTGGTGGAGCCGAGACAGTCAACGAAGTAGTCCCAGTAGTCCTTCCTCCGACCCAGCATGGAGTACCGCTCTGCAAGCAGTCACCAGGCATTCTAGCAAATCCTTACCTCAATGGTCTACACACTGGAAGGCGTGTGTGGGGGTAGGTGTGTTGGTGTGTTAATATTTTTACACCACTTTTAACAGTATTCCAGAAAGATCACAGCAGGTGATACCAGAAGTGGGCTTCACTCATCGTACCAATGTGGGGAATCAAACCCAGCTCTTCCACATGATGAGTGAACACATGAACCACTAGGCTACCCCAGCGCTCAGCCATAGTAACAGATCAATCACATTAACCAAAGGAAGAAAGTATGGTAACAGATATATCACATATCCCTATCATGTCACTATATAACCATAGTAACAAATATATCACCTTCGATTGTATACAACAATGGTAACAGATATATCACCTTCAATGTAAGCACATAATCATGATAACAAATATATCACCTTTTATGGCATGCAACCATGATAACAGATATATCACCTTAAATGTAAGCACATAATAATCATGATAACATATATATCACCTTTCATGTAATCAGGTCACCTTGACAACAGATATGAGATAGACCCCCTCTCATGGACTAACAGATATTTCACCCTTCATTTTAACAAGGTACCGTCAATAACAGATATATCACCCTTCATTTTAACAAGGTAACGTCAATAACAGATATATCACCCTTCATTTTAACAAGGTAACGCCAATAACAGATATATCACCCTTCATTTTAACAAGGTAACGTCAATAACAGATATATCACCCTTCATTTTAACAAGGTAACGTCAATAACAGATATATCACCTTTCATATGTGCCTGTAGCAGGTACTCCAGCTTGGCACAGAATCTGTGGAGGGTTTGGTTGTCATCATTGATGGGGGCTTTTGTCTCACCGAAGTCATCCTTCATCTGTTTGATGCACTCTGAGTGAGGAGATGAGAAAACTATGACTGTGTTAAGTCTCAAATACAGGGTGACAAAACCATAACAGTATCAACATCAACATCGTCGAGTTTGAATACCAGGAGGAAACATGTCATCAAGAGATGACATATCTCCCCTGAAATGGGGAAATGAGGTTTGGCTTGATACACCTCACCTTTGGTTCATAGCAAATGAATACCTTAGGTTCAGAAACAAACAAGAAAGAATGCTGTTCAACCACACCAGAAACAACCACTACCTACATTTTCACTCAGTGAAGTCTAATTTGTTGTTATTAAAACAAACACACAAACAACATTTTTAATCTCCAGTTATTACATCAAACTGATCTTACCCTGTATATCCTGAATAATTTTGTGGTGTTGCGGTGTCGCTACCGACCCGCGGTGCTGATGCAGATGCTGACATCTTGCTGTTTCAGGCTCTTCTACGTCATCTGAAAGAATAACCAAGATGATATCTGAACTAGGAAAGAATGGTCTGCTTCTTGTTCACTTAATTTCAGATAAAGCTGAAAATAAATTCAACCTTCCTGTGTACCACATATTGACAGATGTGTTGTTTCATCATTTCTGTGTTGATAAAATATTTCATTTTGTTTATTGAAAAATAGCAACTGTTGCCATGATTATATAATTTAGTTTTATTAAGTAACATAGTTTCTCAAACTCTAACATGAATGCCATTTGGGAGGTTCTGAATACCATACATTACCACATGACAATAGAATACATGAAATTTTGAAACATACAAGGAGCCATGTTTCTTGTTTTGTAATAACTATAAAGTCAAAACATATTTAGTAGGTTTGAATCCATGAACAAACCAACAAGAAGAAGCTGGAAAACTTTTGAACATACAATCAGAAAACCTCACTTCACAAACAGTATGCAATTTCAACGTATGGAATTATATGTACATGTAACATATTGTGTTGATATGAGATCAATATGACTAAGATGGCCGTACAATTCAATACTTTCATATTGGGGCAGTGTATCACAATCAATGAATTCAGTGAATCATTACAGCCCTAACTTAACACATGCTAAATGCATATTTTGAATAATATTTTCACATTGAACCATCTCTATGATATTTCAATGGATATGTTGAATGAGAATTGAGATCAACCAGATATATTGCATTATATACCATGTATCATATGATCATCATACATACAATTCATTTGATTAGTGTTTTGCAGAGACGTTAAGAGTTGATGACTGTCCAGTTCTGGGGTATGTATCACTCTATAGATATCTGACTATATGGGCCTTGATGCTAGATTTTAGCTGTACAAGCTCCTATGGTCCAACCCCCCACTGAGAATGCAGAACGCTTGTGGTAAAGCCAGCTGACCTGAACTCCAGCAACACGGACCGTCACGTCTTCAGTGTTGACACTTGCAAATATTTTCACTTCATTATAATTCGGAAATATTTAGATGACATTTTCAGCGGCTACGAATCGTTTAACTGCCGTCGAGAACTACCTAGGTCACACGACAATCTCTATTCACACAAATGCTACACCCCTGGTTTGTTGTCATTGTACACTATTTTTACTAAATGTGGAAAGAGAGTGAATGCATGGGAGGTAACTGTGTGTGCACGGAACGTATGGATGTGCTCGTAAAATCAGCCAAACCCACGCTACAAGTATGCCACAACCTACTTGAAGTAATCGCGTCATTTGTCTTGTTTGTGCGTGTATTGAAAGTTTCACAATGGAATATGCCCTTGGAATAGCCGAATGGTTATTTTTACAGCGTTCGCTTGTCACAGAACCTGGGTTCGATTCCCCACATTGTTAACTAAGATACATAGCGTTCCTTGTTCATGTCAGTGAACGCTATGTATCTTAGCTACCACATTGTGTGAAGCCCATTTCTGGTGTACTGCAGTAGTGTTTTTGCTGGACTATTGCTAAGAGCGGTGTAGGGTCATTCTACAGAAAATGTCAATTTGCTGTCCCCACTGACAAAACGCTCAATTTTTTTATTGCATGAAATAATTTACTGAAAGTTCCTTTCATTTCTAGATATATGGTACTAAGCATACTAATCCCTAAATAAAAGATATTTTATTTAATGCTAAATTTTGGAAAACTACAGACGAAGATGGGCAATCAAGTTATTTATGCATGTCCTAGCCACTCTTTTGCATTTTTTAGTGTCGAAATTTCGAAATTTAATATCATTATGTATCTTTGGGTCAGTTTTAAAGAATATGCTTGAATGGTAAAATTAGTTCACAATTTATATGAATATATCAAATACAAATTTGAAAACTTTCGATTTCAAAAACGTCCCTGAAGATATTGTCATTACCGCAACAGAAAGAGAATTAGCACTGAAAACAATATGGAAAATCTCCCTTGAAACCCTGATGTCAGCTTCAACTAGATGGCATCATTGCTGGCCATGTGCTCAAAGGAGGCATGTTATATCATAGGACTTAGAGTGAAATTCACCATTCTTCTTTCATTATGAGGGGAGTGTTTTTAATGTGTGTCATTACCGCAACGCATGTAACTATAGTATATATGAATTAAACTAAGTCTTTCATATTTTACTGAGATGCCTGTTTGAATACTTTTCACAAATATATATCTAAAGGAACTTATAAGTATATGGAAGATCAGGGGAGTTGAATTTAAACAAAATTGTCATTACCGCAACGGTCATTACCGCAACAAAAAACAGTCGTTGCGCTGATGACATCTGTCACTACCACATGTGATAACACTGGTAATCCCATATAGAATGCAACAAATGATACATTGTTATATCTTAAATGATACAACGTATCTTGTAATGTAGTGCTTGGAATTAGAGAGCATGACTACCCGACAAGGATTTAAAAAATGCATCACAATTTTCACATTACACTAACATCAAAATCTGTACATTTTGTCTCACAGTGGTACTACAGTTGATGAAATAAGAATATGAAAAAAACAGTTGCCAGTGTTTTGTGAATCCACTGTTAGTGCTCACAAACCGAAACATGAGTCTCATTAACCAATTCAGACAATGACCTACTTTTCAGCCGATCCGAATTTTCTCGTGTGAAAGTGAAAATAGACATCATAAACAACTATGGTTACACTGAATTCCAATTCCTTGTTACATAAGAAAATGGTATTTACAAATGGATTTTAATTTTAAACTTTAATAACATCGTATTTCTATATTTTATATCGAGGTGTAGGCCGCATGACCTTAACTAAGACGTCACAGACTGCCCCAGTTTGATGAGGTCGTAAAATGATTCACAATGCATCTAGATCACTGGTTACACCTGTTATGTGTTGTTTGCGCTTATTCTATGTAGTTCTGTAACGCACAATGTGATTGATATAATATCAAGTCCGTCCCAGACCGCTAAACTCTTCTAGCGGCTGAGCCTCGTTTTGAGATTTCCACGATTTTCAGGTTTCTGGTTTGTCAGAGCACGCTGCACGACATGTTTGCAAATATTATAAGAAGCGTAGTGTTGCCATATACAAGTGCTTAGATGTATCAAATAATACTGATTAATATTTATGTATCCAGTTAAATTAATTGGTCTCAAAATTCTGAAATGGTTATTGTACTAAGTTGCGCAATAGGACAGAACCCAGTCAACAGGAAACGAGACTGTTGTGTAATCAATGTTTTGACTTGTATTTTTCAATTCACAAGAAAATAACCTTTTCCATAGTTAAACTGTGTTAAAAAACACTTAAACATGATAAATAATACTATATCTGTATTGTTGAATTGGTAAAAACAAGTAAGAAAGTGTCATTAATCATATTTGATTGATCCTTAAAGCAAAGTTATTTCAAGTTATCTACTTTGAGAACCAAACAATTTGCTCTGGGTCTGTCGCCTGTTGTCAACAACATAACATAGAAAATTGTAGCGAACTGTGGTTACAAAGAATAAATATTAAGCTTTAATGTTTTATGTTCATAAATAAAATGTTTTATAACAAGTCAATTGCTTGGAAATGGATTGTGTAACTATATTCTTAAATTTGTTTACATCCATTTCATTACCACAACGACATGTGACTACCGCAATTTCAATGTCATTACCAACACGGGACGAATTATTTATGATTACACAACCAATTATGTCTTTCAAGCCGTTTAACTTATGGGAGGGTCAAAGGAATTCAATGTTTTAACCTTTTCTGATAACTGTTAGAGATAAAAGCTATTGTTGCCTCAGTTATTATGTTTACATTCATGCTAAAACTAAAAAAATCATAAATGCATCGAAACAATTTAGAACAATGACCATTAATTGCACAAATATACTTATAAATAGCCACATATGTGATGCCTAACAACTCTTTCCATTTCATAGCTGTTTTGAAAAATCAGTATTTTTGCCGTCGTTGCGGTAATGACATTTTGATTTAAAGTTGAAGAGTAGCAATAAATTTTATGGACAATTCTTGTCCAAACTTCTCCGCTGATGCAATATACCAGTCATACAAACCAAAGTAGTTTACATGAACTCATAAAAAATACAAATGAAATTTTCTTAAGAGCAAAAGCTGAAATTGCCCTTTTCCATAAAATACTACCTTACTCACTCACTGACCAGTTAATAGCTAATGATAATGAACATCACATATAGTGCAACATTTGTGTCCAAGCGGTTGTGCACCCAAATGACGCACCTACCTACACTGGTGTACCTGTTCCGAACTAAATTATTCACGGGCTTTCTTTCAAATCCTTCAAAACACGTATTCAGTATTCCCGACAACGCTCACTCTCTAGCGTTTGGAATTTTACCTGGATCAGGGTGATAGATTATCGTTTCCACCCTCGATTATCCATATTATCGAGGTACAACACACTGTACTCGGGGTGGCTAATTTCTGATTGCCTAGTACAATTGTTTCAGCGTGAGTCTGGACACCTTTAGTCTGGAAACTCCACCTTCGGACGAAGTATGACAGGTAAGCCAAAGAACATTACTCTATGTACATGATTCGTTAATCCGAAATCCTGTGAATCCGGACGATTTAAAGGTTAACGACTCCGACCGGATTAACGAGGCTAATCCGGCATGTATTACTGAAGAGTAATACACGCAAAGAGACAGTCTTATATTAGAAGTATATATATTTTTCTCGATAACCCACTCTTTATTGGTTCACGTAAGTGGACAGCGAGTGGAGGTACAGACTGCCCGGTCCAGACTGCCAGAGTGTGGGAGATCTATTCCCAACTCGAGTGCCATATCTATGCTACTGCGTCTAGGTGTGGGTGTGTCTGCAACCTGTCCTCATCTGAGTACAGACAGAGCAAATATATTACTGAGGTATAGAGTGGACTACCCAGATGAACAGTGTCTCACCGCCCGATACCCAGTCGGTGCACCCGTGAAGGTCCGGGTTAGAATTGATATTCAGTAACCCAAGCTTGTCGTAACAAGCGACTAACGGGATCGGGTGGTCAGGTTCGCTGGCTGGGTTGACACATGTCATCGTCGAACCCCCACCCCACCCCCCTTGGATCTGCCAATGACTATTGGCCGAAAATGTATTTACTGGGCATTGGGCACATTGTTGATAAAAGCGTATTAAATTAAACCAGCATATATACACCGAGTATACACCATGTATACAACAGATAGTACATACGTACACTCACAAACACACATACATACAGTTTCTGTGTTTACTCAACATGTGTAGCATGTGTGTGTTTTCCCATGTGCTCCTGTATTGTTAGGAGAAGGGTTTTCTTTCCCTTGCATGTGTTTATGTTGGGTATAACCCGGACAGGATACGCTCACCTTTCACAAACACCCGGTGTCATATAACTATTTAATAATGATTCATTAACACATGCTAACAGGATCGGGTGGTCAGGCTCGCTGGCTTGGTTTACACAAGTCATTGGTTCCCAATTGCGTAATATTGCTGCGTAAAACGAAACTCACTCACTCACTCACTCATTAACACATGCGTATGATATGATCCGCTTTCAGAAGAGCATTATTACAATTATGAACATGTTTTTGTATTTACATACACTATACCGCATCCGGCGTGTATACACTATATCTTATTGTATTTCACCAACACCGCGTTTACTGTATACAATATATAGGTTATTCACCAGGCACACACCAAAGACACTATGCACAATGCATTCAAATGATATTCACCGACCTCAGTGCACGTAACGCGATCTACATGTTCATGAATCACTCATTACTGTCGGGGCATTATATGGTGGTGTATAACGTGTAACATTACAACCTCAATTACAGCGTGTGGCCCCTTCCAACCAAGCTGTGACATGGCCCATTGTGCTACCAGTGCCGGTCTTCCAGGATAACCTGCTGTGTTGGAGTGACTCCGTGTTCCAGCCGTGTTACAGATGTACGATGTTGTACATCAGTGGGTTTGATTCCAGTGAGTGAGTGAGTTAAGTTTTAATTTTACGCCTCACTCAGCAATATTCCAGCTATATAGCGGCGGTCTGTAAATAATCGAGTCTGGTGACTCCATTGATCAACAGCATGAGTATCGATCTACGCAAATGGGATACGATGACATGTGTCAACCAAGTCAGCGAGCTTGACCACCCGATCCCGTTAGTCGCCTTTTACAACAAGCATGGGTTGCTGAAGACCAATTCTAACCCGGATCTTAACGGATTTGATTCCAGAACGTTCACCAGAGATGAGTACAAAATAGACATAGACCAAATATCCTAATTAGATCGACACCGACCCAGAGTATACTAATTGTACTGTTACACAATGAGAATCTACACCGACACGTCTGATTCATTGTAAATAACAACTAGCTTCCTTGTTCACCATATCGATTTCTAAATGCCACTTACAGAACATAATGACTAAACTGACACCGATTAGAAAAAGAAGAGATCAACCCTTACTTGAGATCATCTTTGTCTGTTGATGATTTTGTTGAATAATATTCCACTCATATGACGGCTTTGTGTAAACAATCGGGCTGGACCAGATAATCCAAGGATCCACGCCGCCGGGGGACGATGACTAGCTGTCCACCACGTCTCTGAGTCTGGCTACCTGGCCCATTCTGTTGCTGGATGGCACAGGCTGCTGAGGACATGATCTAACCCGGAATCCCATCGGGACCTGAGATCACGACCCAGGGGCGTAGGAGGGTTTCATTTTTTTTCAAGACGAAACCATATCTACCTTAGAGATCATGACTATAGACCAACATCGACCAGAGAGCATGACTACAGACCAACACAGATCAGAGATCATGACTATAGACCAACCTCGACCAGAGATCATGACTATAGACCAACATGGACCAGAGATCATGACTATAGACCAACCTCGACCAGAGATCATGACTATAGACCAACATGGACCAGAGATCATGACTACAGATCAACACAGATCAGAGATCATGACTATAGACCAACCTCGACCAGAGATCATGACTGCAGGCCGACACAGATCAGAGATCATGACTACAGACCAACATCGACCAGAGATCACGACTACAGACCAACAGATCTAGAGTACGACTACGAGACCAACATCGACAGACCAGAGTACGACTCACAGACCAACACAGATCAGATAGCATGACTATAGACCAACCTCGACCACAGATCACAACTATAGACCATCATAGATCAGAAATCATGACTATAGACCGACACAGATCAGATGATCATAACTATAGAGCAACATCGACCAGAGCATGACTATACAGACCAACATCGACCAGAGAGCATGACTACAGACCAACACAGATCAGAGAACATGACTATAGACCAATACAAGATCAGAGATCGCATGATAGACCAGCAGCATCGACAAGATATCATGACTATAGACCAACACAGATCGAGATCATGACTATAGACCAACATGGACCAGAGATCATGACTATAGACCAACCTCGACCAGAGATCATGACTATAGACCAACATGGACCAGAGATCATGACTACAGATCAACACAGATCAGAGATCATGACTATAGACCAACCTCGACCAGAGATCATGACTGCAGGCCGACACAGATCAGAGATCATGACTACAGACCAACATCGACCAGAGATCACGACTACAGACCAACACAGATCAGAGAGTACGACTACAGACCAACATCGACCAGAGAGTACGACTACAGACCAACACAGATCAGATAGCATGACTATAGACCAACCTCGACCACAGATCACAACTATAGACCATCATAGATCAGAAATCATGACTATAGACCGACACAGATCAGAGATCATAACTATAATATAGAGCAACATCGACCAGAGAGCATAACTACAGACCAACATCGACCAGAGAGCATGACTACAGACCAACACAGATCAGAGAACATGACTATAGACCAACACAGATCAGATATCATGACTATAGACCAACATCGACAAGAGAGCATGACTATAGACCAACATCGACCAGAGAGCCTGACTATAGACCAACATCGACCAGAGAGCATGACTACAGACCAACACAGATCAGAGATCATGACTATAGACCAACACAGATCAGATATCATGACTATAGACCAACATCGACCAGAGAGCATAACTACAGACCAACACAGATCAGATAGCATGACTATAGACCAACATCGACCGCAGATCATGACTATAGACAGACACAGATCAGAGATCATGACTATACACCAACATCGACCAGAGAGCATGACTACAGACCAACACAGATCAGAGATCATGACTATAGACCATCATCGACCAGAGAGCATGACTATAGATCAACACCTACCAGAGACCATTACTATAGACCAACCTCGACCACAGATCATGACTATAGACCAACACAGATCAGAGATCATGACTATAGACCAACATCGACCAGAGAGCATGACTACAGACCAACACAGATCAGAGATCATGACTATAGACCAACATCGACCAGAGAGCATGACTATAGATCAACACCTACCAGAGACCATTACTATAGACCAACCTCGACCACAGATCATGACTATAGACAGACACAGATCAGAGATCATGACTATAGACCAACATCGACCAGAGAGAATGACTATAGTTCAACACCTACCAGAGACCATTACTACAGACCAACACAGATCAGAGAGCATGACTATATACCAACACAGATCAGAGAGCATGACTATAGATCAACACCTACCAGAGACCATTACTACAGACCGATCTCGTCCACAGATCTTGATAAGACCGATCCCGACCAGAGACTACAGACCGATACCAGTGAGCAATCATGAAGAGACATACAGTGACCAGAGATCCACCGACAGCGGGCAACAAACATATTAGTCGTGAAATATTGGTTATAAAAATTGTATATTGGAAATTCTGACATTAAATGCTTCCACCATGCGATATCTGAATGCCACTATGGCATTTTAAAGTGTTGATTTGCTGACTCATCAACTCTGGGCTTCAGACATTGTCGTTATGTTCTCAGACACGCTAATGTGAAATGTTGCTTAATGTATACCGTCTCATATTCTGGTTTCCTCGAATCAGGAATGGTTTTAAAGACAGGACGTGTACTTGAAGTACTCAGTTCCCAATATTTGTTATACATAAATGAGCAGATAGATCGCTTACACCACAAAATGTAGTTAATTTGCAATTAACCCGCTCATCCCTAAACAGTGTAACGTACAGGCAATTGAATTTTATGTCCACTTACTTTCGCCAAACCGATCTCGTTAACGTACTGGTTTCCGACTCTCTTTGCGCTGGGATATCTACTGATATTCAGAGACAGCATCTTTATGAGTGAGTGAGTGTTTTACACCACAGTGCACCTTTATCACGACAGCCCGAAAGCTGATGATATCCGCCGGGTGAGGTGCAGCTCGACAATGTATTTAGAAACGACGAGAAAACAGCAGCTGGAGTGAGTATCATCGTTTTTTGAATACATTGTCGATTAGCGCTAGCTGAGTGAATGACGTGTTTCATCCCAGTGTTTCAGTCTGTAACATCTACTCAAATTTCTACTAGCGGGTCCCCCGCCGTGATATTGCTAAAAGCGGTGTAAAATTAAACTCGCTCACTCATTCTATCAAAGCTGACGTCATGTTAATAATGTCTGCTTCACGGAACTACACATTTTCAACATCATTTTTTTACTTAGTATTAAACACAAGAGTGTACTTGTACCCCGTCCCTCATGACTTAATTACTAGAATGAAGTCACTTCAGGAATTTGTAATTACGTATTTCATCAAGTGAATGGTCAACTGCATTTGTGGACAGCCTTACTAGCAGGGGATTTTAAAATTATTCCGTCACAACGACCAGCGATGCCTGTTGACATTTGGCCATACGCACAGTTATCCTGAACTTGCTGATACACGTGGCGCCGACCAGACAGTATTTCATTGTACTCCACAGACTAATTACTATCTTAACGCACACGCGTCTACGGTATGTAGGCAGTATAGATATTGTTCACATGAAAATCCGAATTATTCATCGAAAGCATGAAAATAATAACACGCTTCTCAGTCTGTCCATTCCGGGACGTCTCGAGGATAAACTCCTTTCCCCTCATGTCGTATATGCTATCGATTTAAACGCTCAGTCTCGTCCTGTGGATAACATTCCTCCAAATTAATGACAACATTTAGGAGATCGACATGCGCATTTGTTTTTCGCAAATTGGTTTTATTCAGGATTGACGTTAATCAACGTCAAAACGTCCGAATAATTAATACATACATTGAGAAATCCGTGCGCTTTTGTCTTTCAGGGCCGACTGTCGGTGTAATTATGCTGATTCGACATCTGCAGGGGCGACTGCACCGTGTATTGTGACATTTCAATAACCATGTGTGTGTGTATGCAGGCTGCGTCTTGTCGGCGGGAGTCCTGGTGCCTCGGACGTGTTTACAGAGCTACTGTTATTCCACACACACACGCACACATACACATTTAGTCCGACGGTCAATTTTTAAAAGAATCCCATAATGGTGATCGCTAGACAGGGAAACAATCACCATCTTTAACATCTGTAAATATGACGCATCCCGAGCTCAACCATAGAGCTTCCTTTCGATGTCCGACATGACGCAGGTAACGGAATGGATACGGATGTGGTCAGACCTAATGTCACGGCAAATCTGGGGTCCGAACCCACGACAAGCCGATTCTGGAAACACGAAGGCACGAAACTCTCAACGAAGTGGACATTCTAGCTTGGGTACACCGATTGAATGGATGAATTTGCATTATTCCAGCTATATCATAGCGTATCAGCTTTATGTAGAAGGGAATCCCAAAGTGATGCAGGTCTGAAACAGTTTTTGTGAAACCCGTATGCTGACAAATCTGGAAACATAATCAGGGCGAACCACAGCTTCGAATCCAGGATCATAGGTTTCTGACACAACTAAGGGATACAACTCTGGCGAATTGACGACAGGGCCAACTGTACTTAGAACCTCGCTGTATCTCCAATATAATACGCCCGTGCCAGTCAGTGGAATTGGACCTGCAATATGACTGATTACGGTGAAAAGCCATGTCAGTTTCAAGCAATCGCAGGGCATGCGTCATTGCATAACCAGTCACTAGTTACCATGCCAACCTGCTTCTACGGACCATTTAATTCATTCATAAGTGTGTAGAATGTTAGCGGTTATAAACAATGGCACAAATACTTATGCCACTAAGCTGGTGCCCGCTAGTTCCGCCTTCACTAACTCGGCAGTAATGAATATCACATTGATTCACGGAATGAACCTAAGGCGTTTAATCAAAATCGATATATATGTCACATGGATAATGATATTTATTATTTTCAATCACAGTAGAAGACGAAGTCTTTCGGCTTACAGAATTACTGAATCTATAGACATTTCAAAGAACCTTTGTGTGGAACGACAGTAAACCAGTTGAGACATACCACGTGGATTATATGTCATCAGTGTCATTTATTACAGGGGTAGGGGAGCCAGAGTCTTTGTATGCGCTTCATGTACTGAAAATATATCCCCCGTAATGCTTGTCATATCTATGGATGACCCTTCCGATGTCCTTGTCGTTCCATTACCCGTCTTGGAGGTAAATAATTCAAAAGTTTTTGTTTTTATATCTTATCACAAAAAGTTCATTTTATCAGGACCTTCCCCCACAGTTTGTCCTATTGTTTGGTGACCGTCCTCGATTCCTTCAGATCTTGCTCCTATAACAATTACTGGGTGCCGTTGTACAAAGCGATCTTAGCGCTAAGGTGACCGTAACTCCCATACATTAACATAGACTAAGGTAGCCTTAGCGCTAAGGTTGTTTTGTACAACGGCACCCTGGTCCCCAGCATGAACATGAAATCAATTAGATATATTTTGCTGGCGTAAAGGAAACATCTTTAAATCATTACATCTTTTCAATAGGATAGTGTGTAATATACCCAGATCATAAAGATGCAGTTATGGTTTTACACCTAAAGGATCAAACCTGTTAAATGAACATTTAAAGAACCCTTCTATCCCGCCAAGATGATGGAGAAGCTTCATAAATAACCCTTTTACAACTCACAGCAGGTTGTGGCTTACGATGACGTCAAGCATTCCATTTCTTATTCAGTGCCTAATTAACGTGGAATTTTACAACCTGCTCACCAGTTTCCAACATAAACCAAATATTTCATTTATCAATGTATTACCACGTTTCATTACAGATTCCAGGGAATATTATCGATTTAGCTGTAATAATTAAAAGCAATAGTCGAGTTTGAAGTATTCCTGGTCTCCTGGGGATGAGAAGCTGGGAACTCCAGTAGCCGGGTAGACAAACAGGTTTTCCATGATCAACGTCCGAGTTTGAATCTCCTGCAGACCCTCATCACCTCCTCCAAGCAATACTGTATCCGTCCAGCGGATTCTGGGAGGATATGCCACTAAAGGAAAAACAATGTTGGAAATGTATGGTGGCTCATTCGGGCCATCGCTTTATCGCCCTGAAGAAATCTAGGCGATATCGCGACAAAGCGATAGTACGACACGATATTGCGATATGGCGACACGATATAGCGATATTGCGATATAGCCAAAGACGAAATAGCGATAACATGACACGACATGACGATAACAAGACACGATATAGCGATAACAAGACACGAAATGGCAACAACTCGACACGACATTGCGATAACACGACACGAAATGGCGATAACACGACATGAAATGGCGATAACACGACACGAAATGGCGATAACACGACACGAAATGGCGATAAAAAGAGGCGACATTGCGATATTGCGATAACGCGAAA